GCTTCCTGGTTCCTGGCAGGAAGTCCCCTCTGCCCTCCCAGCAGGAAGTTTCAGGACAGACTGAAACTGGGAGCACAAGGCAGATGAGCAGAGAGGAGGCTGCTGGACTTGAATGCTGTTCTGTGTTTCTTTACAGAATAAAGCCTTGTTCCTGGTGGTTTGTCTGAGTGGGCCTGGTCTGAGGAAAACACACACTGACACACAACGCAGCGCACACGGGGGAGCCTCAGGCCCAGTTTCCCAAAGTTGTGTAAAAAAGGGCACAAGGCCTTTTACTCTATCTTGAACAACCTCCTAGTGAGCCAGTGAATAGGAGGGGGACTACACTGGTCAAGAGACATGTCTCTGGGCAACATACTCGTCTTCATATTAATGCTAAAACAATTGCACCGCTGTGACTTTTTAAAAAGTAAATTTTTACCACCACCACAACCCCCTCCCCCGCACCATGGCTGTGGAGAAATGCTTCAGTATGTGGCCCCTGAAGGCTTGAAAACCCAGAGGCACCCCCACAATATTTATTATTTTAAAAGCTTGTGATTTTCAAACAAATTCATGATTGTTGCACGCTTGGGGATAGCAACGGTAGGTCAGGACTGTAAAACATCTGGGCCCCTGGCTACATCTGGCCCCAAGGACCTTCTCTCCAGTTGGCAGCTCGCCCTGCGCACTTCTAGGGTCCCCAGCTTGCAGCTGCTTGCTTTGCAGCTCACGTGGCTGGAGAGAGTGGGGCTGGAGTGGGCGGAACCGAGGAGGAAGGTCATGCCTGATTGGGCATAGGCAGCTGAGCTGCCGCCCCCTGCTGTTCAGCAGTGGCTCTTTGAGCAGCTGCCACTACTGCCACAGTGCTCCCAAGCCAGGGGTCCCAAGAAGAGGTTGTTTTCCAGCCTCCCCCTCAGGCCCACTCCCACAGGCTCTGCCTGGTCTCTCCTTAAATGCTTGCTGCTGCTGCTTCTCCCTCCCGCATTTGGAATATGCCCAAAGTGAGGGGAGGAGGACAGTGGTAGGGAAGCGGCCAAGGGAGGAGTAGGGGAAATTCCCCAAGTGTTGGGGAAAGAGAAAAAATTCACTATTAGGTTCGGGCGAGAGGTTACCTTATCAATGGACAGAGGAAAGGAGGTTTCATAAATGCATTCGCTTTCTAAAAATGCCCTCCTTTAAATGCAACATTTACCGTCACTGCAGGCCGATGGCACAGGTAGCCTCCCGCTAGAGAACTTTTTACCCCCGGCCCAGGAGCTCTGAGTGACAGGGCTCTTCAGCCCTCAGGTTTGACAGCCCTGCACTAGGTAGGCCACTGCTAGACTGTTCTGTTCTTTCAGCTCTTCTGATTCGAACAGAAACAGAGACAGGGAATGAACAGAGTGTGCAGCAAATCCTTTCTACTCAGTCATGAGGAGACAACATGGGCCAGCGGCATGGCACCAGAGTGGGAGTCAGGGGCCTGGCTTCTATTGCTGCATCTCTCACTGACCTGCTGTATGACCTCAGGCAAGTCACTTCACCTCCTTTTTGGGTTCAGACTCATGATTTTTGAATGCTTAGGGATGACAACACTGAGCACCAGATCAGGGCTGTAAACATACGAGTCATTGGCCACACACAGCCTCTGGGAGCTTACACTCCAGGTTTCTCTTCTTGCACCTGTTCCTTATCTGCAAGCAGAGGACACTTTCCTTTGTGGATCACTTTGAGGTTAAGAGGTGAGAACTGCTATATAAGAGCTGAGCATCATTCTATGGATTTTTTGCCAAGATCTGGAAGTTTTGCATTCGCCGCGAGTCATTTCATAGAATCATAGAATATCAGGGTTGGAAGGGACCTCAGGAGGTCATCTAGTCCAACCCCCTGCTCAAAGCAGGACCAATCCCCAATTAAATCATCCCAGCCAGGGCTTTGTCAAGCCTGACCTTAAAAACTTCCAAGGAAGGAGATTCTACCAACTCCCTAGGTAACGCATTCCAGTGTTTCACCACCCTCCTAGTGAAAAAGTTTTTCCTAATATCCAACCTAAACCTCCCCCACTGCAACTTGAGACCATTACTCCTTGTCCTGTCCTCTTCTACCACTGAGAATAGTCTAGAACCATCCTCTCTGGAACCACCTCTCAGGTAGTTGAAAGCAGCTATCAAATCCCCCCTCATTCTTCTCTTCTGCAGACTAAACAATCCCAGTTCCCTCAGCCTCTCCTCATAAGTCATGTGTTCCAGACCCCTAATCATTTTTGTTGCCCTTCGCTGGACTCTCTCCAATTTATCCACATCCTTCTTGTAGTGTGGGGCCCAAAACTGGACACAGTACTCCAGATGAGGCCTCACCAATGTCGAATAGAGGGGGACGATCACGTCCCTCGATGTGCTCGCTATGCCCTACTTATACATCCCAAAATGCCATTGGCCTTCTTAGCAACAAGGGCACACTGCTGACTCATATCCAGCTTCTCGTCCACTGTCACCCCTAGGTCCTTTTCCGCAGAACTGCTGCCTAGCCATTCGGTCCCTAGTCTGTAGCGGTGCATTGGGTTCTTCCGTCCTAAGTGCAGGACCCTGCACTTATCCTTATTGAACCTCATCAGATTTCTTTTGGCCCAATCCTCCAATTTGTCTAGGTCCCTCTGTATCCTATCCCTGCCCTCCAGCGTATCTACCACTCCTCACAGTTTAGTATCATCCGCAAATTTGCTGAGAGTGCAATCCACACCATCCTCCAGATCATTTATGAAGATATTGAACAAAACCGGCCCCAGGACCGACCCTTGGGGCACTCCACTTGACACCGGCTGCCAACTAGACATGGAGCCATTGATCACTACCCGTTGAGCCTGACAATCTAGCCAACTTTCTTCCCACAATTTATAGTGCATTCATCCAGCCCATACTTCTTTAACTTGCTGACAAGAATACTGTGGGTGAATTTCCCGGTCTGCAGTCCAGAAACATAGGTGCTGGAACTAGGAGGGTTGGGGGTGCTGCCGCATTCCCTGACTTGAAGTGGTTTCCATCATATACAGGGTTTACAGTTTGGTTCAATGGCTTTCAGCACCCCCACTATAAAAATTGTTCCAGCGCCCCTGTCCAGAAACACCAAATTTGAAAATCTTTTTTCTCAAAATTTTTAACATAAAAATTAATTGGTATCTGAACCTATGGCATGATTCATTTCTCTGAACAACACTACACTCGGGGGTGCCCTTCACAATAGCCAAACAATACAGCACAAGGAGAATCTAAGTGAATGGAAAGTGGAATTTAATGGCAATATTCTGCTTCTGTTATGCACACAAAACATCTGCATGGGTCATTGGAATAAAATGTACTTAGCCTGGTATCTTGTCATTTTGCTGGATGGAAAATGCCTGACTCAGATCAGCCTTGACAGCTTTTGTTTCCACCAGATTTTGTTAATGAATTCCAGTGTTACCACTGGAAAAATAAATTAAAGTTCACCTTTAAAAGATCAGGGATGAAGTCCTTGTGCATTTTTCACACAGGCAAAACTCCATGCTAGTGGGAGCCAAGCACTATGGTCTATATTAAACAGGAACATATTAGCACAGTTTAAGTGTGAGAGAGAATTCATACAACTCTCTTGCTGAGATTTCAAGGAGTTTGGACAGATAAACCCAGTATTGGAAGCAACAGAATGCAGCCCTTAGTGCAATCTCGTTAATATGGCAATTGGAAATGTGTTTGCATTGCTTTTAGTGCCTACGTGCGGAAAAATGAAAGATCTCTGGAGATGCTTTTTCTCTACCAGATTTGATTTTGTCTGAAATGTTTTTTAAAAAAAGGCTTATAGAGCTGAAGTCTCTTTAAGACACATCTGACCACATAGCTTTTAATGCTTTCTGGTATTTTAACCATTAGTGCTAGTGGTATATTAGTTCTTCCTTCACTAGGATGTACCATACATTTAAAAACATGACACAATCAGATTTCGCTCACCGGGACGGACAAATGTAAATGCACACACACAAACACATTTTTCATGGCATGTCTTTTCTTTCATTTTCAGTAGTGGGAAAAATATGTATGAAGAAAGGGAATTTCAAGCATCAGAAAACTTCCTGCATAATCTGACTAATAATTAATTTGACCATCTCCCTGCTGCTGCTGCTGATTCATCATCCATTCTCTGGCAAAGACAGACAATCATTCATCAAGGTTCTTACAAACGAGTGAAAGCAGAATAAATTCTCTTCTTTCACAGTCATGCTTGTAAGCGATTTTGATGTCTTGTCTCCTAAAATTCCCAGCATTTGCCATTATTTTTAGTTTGCTACCAACAAAATACATTTTTAAAATCAACTAGAAAATAACAGAGTAGCATTCCCCCTCACCCTGAATGATTTTTCTTCACGTATTTTCATTGTGTGCAATTATAGCAGAAGGGAAAAACGTTGTGGAATTTAAAGTTTTGCTCTATCGGATGACAAAATCCTTGCAAACAAAAACCATCTGACATCATGCAAATTAATTATGCAAGAAACTACTATACTAGGTCCTTAAAAATACTGTCAGCAAACAAATAAAAATCCTCTCCATTAAGATCTGCTAACAGCTAGTCCAATTTTCATTTCTTTTAAAAGACTAGAGACATTTCATCTCTATACTAATTTGCTTTGTGCGTGGGGGGAAAACAGGGAACATAACCAAGACAATATTGCTATGCCTCTCTGTATTGATCCAGGCTGATGGCTGCTAATGTAAATACATAATTTGGCACTTACAAGAAGGGCCCATATTAGGATACAGGGCCCATTTCAGGACAATGGGCCTTTTTCAGCTTTAAAGCTCCATCTGCCAGCATTGCTGCTAGAGATGTCAGCCGGAAGAGCTGTAAAGTGCAAGGAAGCAGACCCTGTACCTGCAAATCCTCTGCTTGCACAGAAACTGCTCTGCTCCATTTTCTAGTGTAAGATCTGCCTAATAGAGGTTGAGCTCTAGGATGACAACACAGAAAGAGACTGGCAAATTAGCTTTTGGAGAATTGTCTCTTACCTGCAAAGCAACATTTAGCCCAGTCCCACAGATTTTGATAGCATCCTTTCCTTACTGGTATGGCTGCAAAAGCAATGATGTCATGGGGAGGAAGCAGTTAGTCATGTGACTGCATCCTCCCACTCTAGGGTATCAGCTGGGGGAGAGAGAGAGAGACAGTTTGTAATCCTGCAAGAATCAGTTGAGGCAGTGAAAGCTCAATCACCCTTTTCTACACATATGTTGTGATTTACAAAGCTCTATTAATTAAAATGGATGACTAGCTATTTCATACCCAGGTTGCTTTTCTAAAAAGGATTATGATTTTGTCATAGCAGTAATAAATCATTGTTAATGAAGAAAAGTTAAGTAACTATGAACTCATGTGTCCATATGTTATGAGCAATATTTCTGTTTATTTCACAGCAGTGCCCCAAGGCCTCGTTACATATTTCATAAAGATGAAAAGTTACTAATCACAGTAGTTTGAAAATGGCACAAACCACAAATTTCATAATCTCTTGCTATCCTCTGACATGCTTCTCACCTTACCCCTTACCAAGTCTATCAAAAAATGCAGCTGCAAAAAACATCTTTTTCTCCCACCATTTCACACTCTCATTATGTTGGATCATATTAAAGAAGTTCTGTATTAAAATCACAAATGAGTTTGATTCCCCATAGTTTAAATTCCAGGGTATTACTAATTAAGAGGTCGCTTGGTTTTTGGTACTGTTTCTCTCCCTCTCTATGTGAAACTTGCAAGCTGCTAATTGTGTTAGTACATTCTAAGACAGAGTCTGTTCTCAAAGCAATTCTTTGTAACAACAACTACTCACACAGAGAGACTCAAAGCAATACTCTGTAACAACAGAAACAGCACCCAGAGACTCCCCGCCCTTTTGTTGTATTCATCTTGCTTTGTTAACAATTGTGATTAAAATAGAGATAGAGGATGTATGTGGATGGATGCTTGGTGTGGATAATAACTGAATGATCAGAGAGGTGCCAGCCTAAGAATCCAGTGTCCATCGGCTGAAGAAGGCGTCAAGTGGAAATAACCAGAGGACCCCCGGAGGGCAGACTGGAATCCACCCAACAGCCTCAAGAATGGGAGAACCAAAGAACAAGGTAACATCTGGCAGCACGGAGCCGTCAGGAATGTGCCATCTGCTGATTGATTCAGCAACAGCATGATGAAGCAATTCCCATAGACTGGCATAGGAAGAAATTCCTATAAAAATGGACTCTAGAAAGTGAGAACTTTGGGGTTGATTCTGCAAACCAACTTCCAGGAGCATCAAGTGTGCACCTGACAAGGCCCTGCTCCCTCCTCATGTCCAGGCCACCTGGCCAGTGGCTCGGCATGAGCGACTCTAAGGCTGGTAACTATGATAACAACCTTGCAGAACCTCTGTGTGTGTGTGTATGAATGAATGTGTGAATATATATGAAATTGAATGGAATGTTATAGCTATAACTAACTGCTTACTATGATTCTTTCTGTTTTGCTTTGTTCCCCTTTAATAAGATCCTGCTGGTTTTTATTTTATTGGTATAAGAGTTGAACCCTTTAACTGACTCCCTTTATCTTCCGCATCATGTTCAAGCTTCCTATCCTTACCTCCAAAGTTCAATACCTCCCTCCAGCTATGTTCTGATCTCTTATTCCCCCATTTTGCTTGCCCATGCCTAACCTCTCATTTTTGTATTCTTCTCCTACTCATCTTTCTCCCCTCTCTCTTCCATGCTGCCCCTTGTACTTGAAATTGTTCTTTTACTATGTGCCACATGTTTACCCTCTTGTTTGTCAAATTTCTGTTTAATTATTTTCCATGGAATCTTTTACTGACAATTTACTTAAAATACATTAAATAGCTTAAAAAAACCCCAAAACAAAAAAACCCCAAAACCCACAATCTTCATTGCTCCGACTTCCAAATCATTGGTCATCCAGCAGATCACATTTAGAACCATTCTCTAAGGAAAAGTTTGGACTGAGTTTTAGTCTAATTACAGTACTATTCTGAGCACACTGACAGTTCTCTAGTTCTAAATAAACTTTTTTTTGGTAAGAATTGTGTACGCCTCTAGATTTACCTTTCACAGTACATAGTTCCCAATGAAATTTTACAAAATATACTGTATATACATAATTGTGTAGGAGCATGTTACCAAATTTTTTGTTTTATTATAGCATTACGCTCACATTATTCATCCTCCCTTATTTGAATATAGCCTTAATGATCTTCAGTGAAGACTTTTTCAATGCCAAACAGGAGAGTAAACACAGCAACATTTAAGGTGTTGTCTTAAGTATTGCACTTTTATTACAATATTCTCTTTGTATCCTCCACAAGTCTCTCACTCACTTGGAATATGCATTTTGAACTGGTCCTCAAGTCCACTAGTCTCCTCATGGTCAAAGCCTTCCTCAAAATCCACTTCTATTGTGTTTTGTGTTGACAAAACAGTTCTGCAGCAGTTCTCTTTGCATTCATGTAGAACATCTGAGGCAGGCCAAACAAATAGCCAGCAGGTCCATAACTATGTATACCCAACTGGGCCAAATCCTTAGGTAGGGACTGCATAGCAGGAGTTACTGTAAATAGCAAACTGGATTAGTGACTTCAGAATGGCTACACAGCTGCTCCAAATCTGGGCTCCAGGTTGAAGGAAGTGCCTGTCTCCCTGGTTTCTCATGCAGATCCTCTGACGAAAGTCCATTTACATGGACTTTGCATAAGAGCAGAGCTTGGCACTTAGTCTCCTATGTCTGGGTTTTCTCAAACATTTTCATTGCGTGGACCACATCTTAAGAGAGAGACTGGCTTATGATCCACCTCCCTGCACATGATCAGGCAGATCACCTCTCCCCCATCCTCATTTATAATCATGAAAGAGCCCTGTGCCAATTACAACAATTGTGACCATGGAAAAGTAGCAGTAGGAAAGTTTTTAGGGTAGGGCGTTCAAAAGAGCTCAGTGCTATCCTAACTCTGCTCTACCTGGAATCAGGAGTAAAACTCCAATTGATTTCAATGGAAGCAGCTAGGCTGTCCCATCTCATGAAAATCCCATGATTAAGGTACCTGGAGTTTCGTTTAATGGAGTTTAGCAGTTCAAAATAAGGAGAGCAGGTACCATGTGACCCATCAGCTCCTTATGGGCCACAGCTGAGGAACATCCTATTACATACAAAATAATCCTAGTACCATAACCCTGGCCATAAGCAAGGGAGTGGATGGCTCCAATCAAATGAGCATACACCAAAGGGCTCTCTGTGTATAGAGAAGCTTCTACATTAATGGTCTGATTCTTCCCTTCTTCTGTATTAGTCTCACTGAACTCATCCCAAAGTTTTATTCTCTGCCTATCACATCCTTGATGTGTATTTTTAGTATGATGGGCTCATTACTAATATGCTGAAGGATTTAAGGGGCAAAATAACTAATTCACCATAAAAAATAAAATTCTACCAGCTAGATGTTTCTGTAGGTTACAAACACATGCAGCTAAAATATCCTGTAAAAGCTTTAAATAATCTGCTCAATTTATAGTCTCATATTGAATGGTGAAAAAGCAGTAGTACTGTATACATAATGGTTTTTCCTTTTGGGGGTGCGGTAGGGGATAGTTTTGTTTTCCCTAGACCAAAAGTTCTTGAGTATTTTAAACCTTCTCCCCGTAACTGGAACCTTTTAAAATCTCTCCAGTCTTCTACTTGTGGGGCTCCTCTACACTTAAAAAGTATACTGGATTCGTAAGGAACATGGTGTTCTTCCCTGGGATAAAATTTGGAATTTTATTATCCTCAACAGGACCTATAGTTAACAACATACATAATCATCTAAGCCTTAGAAGAACCTTGTCATCGTTATTTAACACTTACCTTGAACGATCATCTTGCAATATATTTACCACTGTTTGAGTAAAAGAGATACATAAAAATTTGTTCTCATACCATGTTGCAGTTCCAACATATCCCCTTTAACTTTGTTGTTGATCTGAATGGCAGCAATGAGTGAAGGCTAAAACTTCCAAAGGCTATTTCCAGTAAACAGGTTAAAAATAGTCTAGCTCTATTATACCCATAATGCCTTGTAAACAGTGAACTGAGAACAGCGTACGTCCAGTGCTATAAATCCCCTCTGTGCTTATGCTGCCCATGGTTACACAGATACAATCAGGTCCCCACGCTTCTGCAGCATAGTGATCCACTGTCTTCCATGTGTATTGTATATTCATTTTCAAATTGAATGCATATTCTTCTGAAGAAAATGTCCTAGTGTGGCTTAGTAATCGGTCTGTCAAGCTAGGAATGGAACGCAAAAATTAACTTATCCTGTAAATCTTACTTCTGTTTGAAGTGATTTCCATCTAGGAACTGTGATGCTCAATAAGTTGTTAAAGAAGTAAAAGTAGTAGTAAGTAGTATGATGACGCTGTCTGCAGAGCACAAATTAAACCTTAGCAAGGAAATTTTGAACAGCCTTTTCTCTTCAGAGAAATTGCTCATCATAATACAAAAGTAGAAAATAAGCCCAGAAAAGATCTTAACCGTGACCCTCTGATGCAGATGAGAGCTTGTTTTCAAGGGGAGGTATTAGTGCTAAGGCTTCAGGACTTTATTCCCATACATGGCACTCTGGATCCATTTCAAGCCTTCAGGGTAACCTTTCTGGACTGATTGGTTTAACTATTAGATGAAAGTTTATTATAGTGATGTCATCTAAATAATGCTCTACAGCCCACGAAATTGCTTTGTAAAGGTATTATAATGACTTATATGTAATTATTTCAAAAACATTTTATATTGTGAGACATAACAAAGCTCTATTTGTATTTATAGTAAATTATTTTATTCTGTAAAAGAAATACTTTCCAAATAATACAAATGACACAATTGTACAAAACTGTGACAAAAACAAGAGAGATGAATACTGAATATTATAACTGATTACCACATCAAAAGAGTACTCGTTACAGCAGTCAATCTTGGACTCTCAAAACATTCTGGTGATACTGTACCATTAAAAAAAACAACAGGAACATTCGCCATTAGATACCGCACTGTTATTTCCTAGTTTAGGTATAGGACAAGTCTGTGACATCTCAGATATCACAGTGCGTACCTGTTGGTAAATACTGCCTTTTTAATGGCAATCTCTGTAAAGGAGACAGATCTATTCCCTCTCACGCACTGGGACATTCAGGTAATGAGCACTTAAAGAGTTGGTGTTCTCAGACTTTCATCCCAACACAGACTAAAACATTGGTTTTTAGTTATTTATTTTAGTAAATATTTATTTCTGTTGGCTTATATTCTGTTCATTTTTTGAATCTCTCTTATTCAGGCTTGAGACCCTTATCTACAGCTACCAATACCACTGTGAAGAAAAGAGGCTTGAAGGCAGTTAGTATGATAAAGCCAAATATTCTTTTTTCATGCCAAACTGGATGATTAGGAAGCTTACAAACACTATGTCAGGTAAAAAGGAATATAATTTTAAAACACAAATGTCTGTGTTACTAATAATGTTCAATTACTAATCTGTTTGGGTTTTTAATATAACATACTTTTGCTATTTATATTCTGCTTACTTTCCACAGCTTGGACAATGAAAATAGACCCAGTCAGTTTAACTTTTACGTTCTCATACTCTTACATAATGCTACAGTACATGAGTCCTAACACCGCAGGGAATGTTTACTTGTTTCTAAAAATAAATGAAAACAAGCTACTGGTCAGAGATTTTGCAATTTTGTTAGCTTTTTACAAAACCTAAATTTGGGGCCAAATCTGTCCTGACGATGTCCCTTGAACCGAGAGAGACCTTGATTTTCACACTGGATGTTCCAACATTAGGTTAAATAAGTCTTGTGTGGGGTGCCCTTCTCCTTAGGTAATGCACATTAGAAAATATTAGAAACTGCCTACAGTAGCTCAGTAAGAAGCATTTTTACATACTTGCAAGATGCAAGGACACAAAACTGGCATTGTCGGGAATTTAGGGTGACAGTCCTATGTTAAAGCAAATGGTAACAAATAAAATCATTCCTGGCCAAGTTGTAGTTGGCCCAGCTGCCAACCAAGTGAGCTATTTCTTCCAGAGTTATAAGCCCTGTTTCTGAAAAGCATCAGGAAAGCAAAAACTTACACATGTGCCTAACTCAAAGCACCTGCTTAAAAAGCTATGCATGTGTTTAACCCCGCTTCTGAATAGGGATGCTTTCCAGAATATAGGACTTAAGTACTTCCTGAATGGGGCCACAATCTTTAAAACTACTCGGATGCTATATTCTTTTACTAGTTTTATTAATATGGGAAGTCCCCTCCCCCCCCATTTCCATCTTTATTAAATCATAGCAAAACAAAGACCTGCCACCCTTTTCCTTTCCCCCGTTTAAATTGAGAATCTAATTAAAAATATAAAGATACATTAAACACAACTGAAATGAGAACAATCTGTTAGTGCACAGTAAGAACATGCAAATGAGTTCTGCAATGTTGAATGGCATTTTTAATCAGTATTAAAAACATTGCAGGTGATAATATTTTGCTATAACACAGACAGTGCTAAAGAATACAATTTACATGATAGGATACAGATAGTAAAGCTGATAAAAGTGACAAATTTAGAACATAGTATTTTCATTTCAGGTATCAGAAACAAAACCAGCTCAATGGTTCCATTCTACTGTATGACGAATACTGAAGAACAAAATTTCAGTCTTAAAATACATCTTAAAGTAGGTATTTTCCTTCAAGGAAAAATGTGCTATAAATAAATTACAATACAGTGAATTTGCCTGAACTCACTTTGTTTCTGTCTTCCAGCCTTTAAATCAAATAAAACAGCATAAAAACTGTACACACTCTTAACAGGATAGCTGATCTTTTATAAAATAAGTTGTCTTCAGAGATGTCAATTTCACAACAAGGAAAAACCAAGCCTTGTTGCAGTCACTATTATAAAATATATATATATGTGTGTGTGTGTGTGTGTGTGTATGTATATATATATATTTATATATTTTTTTTACTTTTACTTTTTTTACGTTTTTATTTTTTACAAAAAGTGTATATTAATAGTATTTTGCACAAACTTTTTAAAAGAAATTTAGCTAGTCTAATAATTTCATTAAAATAAAACAGACAGATAAATACTTCATGTTTACAATGCAACCTGTTACACATCATCAGCTGGCAGAGGAGGTATGTTAATCCTTGGTCTTGTAAAAAATGCTATCTTCTCTCTGTCATTGAAAAAATAGAGATAAAAAGTAGTCAAACAAATGCTTATATACAGACTTCAAGAAACTGAATTTGTTTCAATCTTTATTTAGCTCATTAAATTCTTCAGATCAAATATTTATTGAGGTGTTTATAAACATAGTAAACCAGGCTCATATTGTATAGCTATAATAAATAAATAATAATAAATACCACCTAGCCCTTTATATAGCACTTTTCATCAGTAGCTCTCAGTGCTTTGCAAAGGAGGTCAGCATCATAGAATCAGTCTTTTGGAAGAAAAAAAAGAACTAGTATCCACTACTAGCTATACACGATTGAACTAAATGGGGAATACAGACCAATTCCTCGACAATATAAACCACAGACACTATTACTTTTTGGATGAAAGCTGCCCCAGAGTACACAGAACCACACAAGGCTCTACACATCGGCTAAGCCTTGCATAGTTCCTCTTCACTGGACAAAACTGCACTGTTTCAGTTTTTACTGACAACACATACAGAAAGTAACAGACTATTTCTGGATGCATTCATATCTAAAATAAGGAAATTCTTATTCTTTTCACTTTTTTATTGAGCAAACACCACAGACAGCAGATTAAATGTGATTAGAAACTATCCATGGTTTCATCTCTGCATACCAGCCCGTATATTTGATTTATTTCCTCCCTGCCTTGTGTTCCCCAATATGCAGGATTTAAGTTGGCTTCATTATTGCGGGAATTAGAGAGCTATCAAAAACCAACCCTGCAATTTCTGCTCTCCTGAGGTCCTGCCTGTCAGCCTAGGAGAAAGGGATTTTTGACAGCTTCTCCCAAATGAACAATGAAATTAAAGACCTGATTCATTTAATTTTCATTTAAGCCTTCCTGTTACCATTATAGCACAATTTTTCAATAATTACAATCAATAAAAAGAGATTCTAACAACCAAAGTGTTCTGTGAGCATCTGCCTAATATGAAACACTAGCTGTGTTTTCCTACACAGTCATTAAATTGCAAGCATTTACTCTTAAACACTTCATGACATGGAGTACACATATGAATATACAAAACAAACTGCTATTTTAATACTAATAGTCAGAAAAATCATCATCTGAAATGCATGTTAATATTTACCAAAGTCACTGGTAAGCAAAGTTTAAAACTGTATATTTGACATAAGAACTGTAAGCAGAGGAGGAAGGGATGAAGAAGGATACAAAGCACAGAGATTTCTGGAAAGAGCAGTTAGGAAACAGGACTTTGGTTTGAATAGTAAGAACAAACAGTTATGGGGACAATGCTGTTTACTAGAGTACATACAGAACATTAACTAATTGACTGTGCATATAGGGATGCAACTGGTTCCTTGGAGAACTTAAACCATGTTAGCTTGGAGCCCAAAGAATATGGTGGTGTTAGTAGCTGCCCGAATTAGAATTATAGCCTAAAAATGTGTGTACATAAATTTGGACATTCTCTTTTTGTACTACAGCATTTTTTTATTTGCACGTTGGGTGACAGCGCTTCTTCACTTCGGTTTTTAGTCTTTGTACCATGAATTGTTCAAAAGAAAAGCACTCTAATGAAGACAGGCCCACATCAATATATAAGTAAAGGTTATAGATACATAGGACACTGCACAGTGAAGCTAGGTGGTTTGGAGCTACTATAGTAATACATTAGTACATTACAACCAACAGAGACCGGTAAAGATTAAACATGTGCTATTTTCAATACAGATGTTATTGCTTACCTAAAAGTCTGCACCTGAATAGGCTCTTTCTGGTTTTGTCCACGCAGTAGGTATACTTCTTTGGATGCTTTCTTTAGCATTTTTTCAGCTACTTGTTCTTGGTGATGTTCAAATTTGGTCTGTCTTGTCTGAAAAGTATTAAAACCAAACTAAAAATGAATAGCTGGAAACATATGGAAATGAAGACATCTGTTTAAATAATATGCTTTCCCACTTCATCTCAGTGAAACCAGCCAAACACAAGGTCTGAAATAGCTAGACTCCCCAGAGCCACAGGACTGTTTTAGTCCCTAATGCTCCTGAGAAAGATGTGTTAAATTCCACGTAGTTTACTGTATTTCGATCTTTCAAATGAGACCATAAACTAGAGATTATGTGTGCTCTATGTGGGCACTGAAAATCCAATGGCAATTTTTTGTAGTTTGCCCCAGCATGCTTTGGTACACTTCCCTTTCCCATCAATGGGAATTACAGTATGCATACACAGTAAGAGGAAATTATGCAGAACACTCATTTATGATAAAATATCAAATCAGTGGATATTCATCCAGAGGCCACGTGGGGAAAAATGCATTGCGATTCCCCTACTAAATATCTATAACTTACAGAAATATCAGAAAATGCTTTTAAAAATACCAGAAAAATCAAACTTTTGATGGAGAGTTTTAATGTCTCAGACACATTAAACAGTTCCATCCTCCAGTAATTGTCACCAATGTGGTATTCAATAATAATCAATGAACTGATGTTTTCATGAGGGTAACAACAAGGGCATCTGGGGTGAAATTGTTTATTTGAAATCATGTAACATTATAGAGGTCCATTCATTTAACTTCAGCACTTCCAAGGTATACTTACCATCAGGCAGGCTTTAATCAAGGGTTCTGAGTATGCCCAACATAGAGCCCAAGAAACCATACCTGTCTCTCTGCTTCCTTCAACAAATTTCGGAATCGTTCGTCCCGAAGGACCCAGTGGGGAAGATCAGTTTGCCCTCTGAGTTGGGCATCTTCCAGACGTTGCTTCAACTCTCTCAAAACACATATCTCCTCATTCAGTTGTCTCTGTCTAGTTCTGGATGCCTGGAGATCCAGCTCCAGGTCTAGGGATGTCCTTGCCATAAGCTCAGCCAAAGAAGATCTACAGGACTGCTGGATTATTATAATTCAAATAAAACACACAACAGAGATGTTATTCAGAACATGTTATATTGATATATTCTTAGCTGATTCAGGCAGACATTTCATGCATGTCTTTAACTCTTCTGGCACGGAAGTTTTGGAAATAACGTACCAATCTCACTGTGACAAGACTAAACATATTTTGTATTTCAGGTATACTATTTCAATTCGTGTTTGATGGCAGATCCAAATTTTGGTCTCAAAAAACTAACCACCTTTTCCAAGTAAGATGTCTTAGTCCATAAATATGCATAGGGTTGTGAACCAAGTGTTCTTATTTACATACCTTCTGCTGCCATCATGAAATTCTTACTGTTAAATGATGACTTCAGGAATAGCTTTCAGCAAAGGGTGATGTACAAACTACACCACTCAGGAGTAAACTCAAAATGCATTGTGACTCAGGAGACACATCCTGAGTAAAAATTCCTTCCAAGCTTCCTCCTTGCTCTGAAGGTGGTAGCAATTTGCTACTCATCTCTTCCAGCAATAAGTTACGACACCTGCACTGGCCAGAAAGTATGGGGGATGAAAACAAGGCTCCGCACACTCCCTGCCCCCCTACTCTGGTAAGAGACTAAAGGGGCACTTAACCTTGCTTACTTCTGAACACCTAGGACCAAGGTCTAGGTGGACCACATAGGGTTGTGACCAGGATTTCTAATTGGTCTCACCGCACTTTGTGGGTATGCAGCCAAGCACAGTCTTACCGATAGCATTTTAACACACTGGATAATTAAACCAATCCATAATCAGAATTGATTTAAATTGGTCATTAGGTGACAAGCAAGTTTTTGCAGTTGTTTATGACTGTATCTCAAATATCTGTCTCTTCTCCTAAAAAAAACCCAATTAATTTATTACATTACAGTATCAGATGCTTCATAAAAATTGTCTTAAATACACCTTTGAAATCCAGGTCAAAGTACTGCTGCTTCACTTTGTAAAAAAGGTCTCAGCAGAGAAAAATCCACATGCTCATATACTGTAGTATACCTGCTTATAGCGCAAAGTACGCCTTTCCAATGTATTGCGGATGAAGGGTGATTTCCTTGGCAGGGTTGAACTGTCACTGTCACTACGATACAGCTGATTAAAAAAGATATTAAATATAAATGGACATTTATTCATGGTTGCTTTGGAATCACAAATGTTACAAGCTTTTAATTGGAAACAATGCTAGACAACAGAATACTTTTCTAGGACACTTGAGATTTACTTACATTAATGGACAAAAGTTCTCAGACTGCATCATAAATTCATACTTGCCTTCACTTTAAAAAAATTCTGTTGTGCAGTTTCTGAACAATGTTTATTTGTTAAAAGATGGTGCACGTGCTTCACTATGTTTCTTTTTAAATTGCCAAAAGATTGTTGTGGTTGGCAACAGTGATCTACCATCAAAAGTGTTTATTGTTGTGTATAACAAGCCAATCTCCTTAGCGTATTTGCAAGAAGGTGGCATGTGACCAGGATTCATCACTGAATTTGGTCCGCTGGTGTCATAAATATAAAGGGAAGGGTAAACCCCTTTGAAATCCCTCCTGGCCAGAGGAACAATCCTCTCACCTGTAAAGGGTTAAGAAGCTAAAGGTAACCTCGCTGGCACCTGACCAAAATGACCAATGAGGAGACAAGATACTTTCAAAAGCTGGGAGGAGGGAGAAAAACAAAGGGTCTGTGTCTGTCTGTGTGATGCTTTTGCCGGGGACAGAACAGGAATGGAGTCTTAGAAATTAGTAAGTAATCTAGCTAGGTATGTGTTAGATTATGATTTCTTTAAATGGCTAAGAAAATAGCTGTGCTGAATAGAATGAATATTCCTCTCTGTGTGTGTTTTTTTGTAACTTAAGGTTTTGCCTAGAAGGATTCTCTATGTTTTGAATCTAATTACCCTGTAAGGTATTTACCATCCTGATTTTACAGAGATGATTCTTTTTTACTTCTATTAAAAGTCTTCTTGTAAGAAAACTGAATACTTTTTCATTGTTCTAAGATCCAAGGGTTTGGATCTGTGGTCACCTATGCAAATTGGTGAGGATTTTTACCAAACCTTCCCCAGGAAGTGGGGTGCAAGGTTGGGAGGATTTTGGGGGGGAAAGACGTTTCCAAACTACGTTTTCTCAGGAACCCAGATAAAGTTTGGTTGTGGCAGTGGAAGTCCAAGGGCAAAGGGTAAAATAGTTTGTACCTTGGGGAAGTTTTAACCTAAGCTGGTAAAAGTAAGCTTAGGAGGTTTTCATGCAGGTCCCCACATCTGTACCCTAGAGTTCAGAGTGGGGAAGGAACCTTGAGAGCTGGTTAGATCATTAGCTTTCCCAGCCAAAGCTGGGTACTGACAGCGAGCGCGACATGAACAGTGATCCATGCCAATGTAAGGGGACTGTTGGCCCCTTACTGAAAGTTAGTGGGTTTTTTTGGCCCTCTCCCAGTATCAAAAGAAAGGGCCAATGAGAAATCAAGACCCTGAGACAGACAATCCCCAGGGCCAATGCTCCAGGTCAGTCTGATTGACAGGGCAGGCCAGCCAATGAGGGAGTTGGGAGTCCAGGGTCCCGTCCCTCGGTGTGAGCTTCCAGGAGCAGAGTGGGTTGGAGGTAAGGAAAGAGCAGCAGCCAGAGCCAGAGAGATCCAGAGAAGCAGCCCAGAGAGCAGAGCTGGAGGCAGAACAGCAGCGGCGCTGAGGCAGAGTGGAGCTGCAAGTGGAGCAGTCCGGAGCCGGGTGCAGTGAGCAGCTGGGGAGAGTGAGGGGGGACCCTGGGCAGGGGGCCCAGCGCAGGGAGACACCCGTGGCCAAGAGGCCTTGCAGGCTGGACTTGGGAGGGGATTGTAACCCCGACGGGGGCAACGCTGGGAAGAAGGGTCCTGCCACCTAGAGCCTGAGGGCATGTGGCCACCACCAGAGCAAGTGTATCACCACAGCACAGCCACGGCCTGGGAAGGCGGCCTTGGACATGTGAGGAACAGACTGTGAACTTCCCGGACATTCCCGGGATAGCTATTTGTGGTTCCCCCATACTCACAGGGTAGGGTTATAAGTTTTCCTTTAACCTCTCCCATATTTTCCCTAATTTTTTTTAATTAGTTGCTATTTAATAAATTGTATTTGCTTTGAACTATATGCAATGACCAGTGGGTCAGGGAAGCACCCAGTGCAGAGAGAGCACCCCGGTGTGGGGCACTCTATCCCCGGTCCTAAGTGAGCACAACAAGGTTGGGGGGGTCGAGCCCCCCAGGAAACCTTGCCCCGGCCTTGTTGGGGTTATGGGACTCTGCCGCACAGGAGAGTGGAAGGGGAGATAAGGCAGGCCTCTGTATAAAGGGAGTGGGAGTGAGGACTCAGACCTTTTGCTCACCAATTCCATCAGGGTGGTGTATGAGCCAGGAAAGTTCCTCACAATAGTGGGACTATTCCCCCACTTACACCAATGTCACTAAATTACTAGCTTTTCAGATTCAGTGAGGTGCCTGCTTTAAACAGTATATATTAAAATAGTATCTAGCATTACATAGTGCTTCACTTTGGATAGAAATGTGCAGCAATTTTATCTGAGCCTCTTGCAGAATGCGATAACAATGCATTTTCAAGGCGTGTCAAGTGACTGCTATGTGAGTTATTATTTGTATTATGGTAGCAAGAAGGAATTCTGAACAAGGATCAGAACTCCACGATGTTAGACACCAAATAGACAAAAAACAAAGAAGAGTTATGTTATGGAAGTCAGCAGTATCTAGCATAAGACCCCAAAAGACTATTCTATCATTTAATTCTTAGTATTTTATAGAGAAATAGGTTCCTATCAGTGAACTCTTTCCAGTGATGATAATTTAATGCAGTGTAGAATTTTTGGCTGAACATTAAAAAAAATATAAATCCTAATTCGTGTAAATATTATGTAAGTATTGAAAAAGCACACTTTAATACACTTTCTGCTTCTGAACGTAAAACCACAAAAAATTTCTACTCACTCTGCAAACATACTGACTTCGTGCTCCAGGTGAGAAGGTCTGTGATCGAACAATAGTGCTACTACGAACAAAAGCAGAACCACGGGGCCTTCGGCAGGTTCTCTCTTTTGGAAGAATAGCGACTTCTTCTGGGAAGAGATCTTCTGTGTTAGTTTCTTTATCCACCTAGAATCACAGCCAAAAACAGTACTTTTACTCCACTGACCTCTTCTACAACAAAAGCAGAAAAACTTGTTAGTTATGATCTAGTTGTAATTAATATGTCCAGTGCATGAATCATCTCTCATTTAAGAAACCATAATTCTAAAACCACACAATTCAGAATAGTGGGACTGGTTTGCAAGTGCTAACAGCCTTTCTGCTGGGCCTTAAACCATCAAGAGATTAACATGTAGCATTCTGTAGCCAATCACCAAATCTGCTGGACTGGACAGCTGCCTAAGCTCTTACCTCAATGGACGGAGAGAACTAAATCACTTTTCAGAAAACTGTGCTGATTCTCGGGAAGGGAGCAGCCCCGCCACTAAGTCAGTACAAAGGTAGGGAGAGGAGTCAATCACAAGGAACCCGGAGACTTTGAGGATATCACAGAAAAAATCAAAGCATTTGGAGATTCTGAACATATAAGTTTTGAACCAAGCCTCCAAACTTTTAGATGGCTCACTTAACTGTTCTGTATTACCCAACCACAATGTGACACTGAATGGTGCACCACACTCTGACAGGACAAGTTTCTCAGTACGTGTAAATAGATGTAGTTCCATTGACTTTCTGTGAGTTTCCAGAAGCTGATTTAAATGACGTACAGCCTTCAACACACCAAATTTGGTCTGAAAACCAGCTATGTTTATTTTAACACGGTGAAAGCAAGGTAACAAACTTAACCTTTCAGTTTTTACATTTTAAAAATCTTCCACGAATGCGACATTGGTATGAATATTTGCATTTGGGAATGGCCTTCTCCAAAACACTTCTAGGAAACACAGTTACTGAGTGTAAGTCTATACTCACTCATTATGCAGGAGCAAAAATATTTTACCTTACGAGCTGACAAAGTGATTCTGTTCAACAAGAAACTGGACAAGTATCCCATTATAGGAGTAAAATTAAGAGACAACACGCAGTTTTCCCCCAAAAGTAACTAAAAAGAGTAAGTTTAACAACTCAATATAGAGTATGATTTTCAGCACTGCAGACAACAATAGGTCAGGGTTCTTGATGCAGCTCTGATTTTATTTTCTGACCAAATGACACAAGTTCAGCTAGTGCCAGTAATGCACAGTGCGCTAGGCATTTGCCCGTCTTCAAGAGTATAGTGTTTTCTCTTCTTACCTTTAGGGGTGGAGGCTGCACTTTACCAGAACTGTATTGACCTGCCTGAACTGCAAACATATGGCCACGTAACGAATCGCCACAACATGCCTCTGGATAAGGTGGGCTGGTCTGAGTGCAATTACATCCACTGTCAACAGATTCTGCTTGCCAACTCCTAAGGACAGAACATTTCAAGGAACTTTCAAGAAATGTGATGGAACTGTGCAAAAATATATGCTGTGTTAATGAATTTCAACATCCAAATCTTCAAGGATAAGTTGCCTTTTAAAAAATTTTGTTCCTGCCGTTCTGATTCATTCCACTTGAATGAGGTGATTATCCTATTTGGACCTCTAAGGTACACAGACAAGCCATTAATTTCAGATCTTTCATGTAAGAACCAGCTTTTCTAGTCCTCCCAGCCAGTCACTTCCCAGCCTTGAAAAGAGCATTAAAATACATAAAAGGACAAAATGCCTCTCAAACAACAAACTAACAACATGAAAAACAGTGATGTATAAAATAAAAGACTGCAAAGGTTGGATTATTTAGCTTGTAAAACAGAAGAGCAATAGGAGTACTAAGTGAAGGTATTCAAAATTATGAACACCATAAAGAAAGCGGCCAGTTCCTCTTTTTAAAACTCTCTTATAACATGAAAAGAAAAGAACATTGTGTAATTAAAAGGAAGAAGAATATAAAACTCCTTAGTTATGCAGTTTATGAGGGCATTTTGTGATGTGATATTCAATATCAAGACTGTATAAAGTGGGCAGTGGGAGGGCGGTATCAAATCTCGCTGTTTGTTTTCTGAGGGATTCATCACACCATGTGGCTAGCTTTGGGGGAACACACTTCTTTTTTTTTTTAAATGGTTCAGGTCCATCTTTCCGGGACCTACCCCTTTTCTTAAATAGATATAGCTATACCAGATCAGGCTGCTGGTACAGTTAATCTGGTATAATGCCTCCAGCAGCAGATCCTTAGCCAGTTGGAAGTTGGACAATTCTTGACGCTTGCAATGTACACCCGATAGTATGAGATTTGGTTGCACATGTCATTATCTTACCTTGAATAACTCCAAGTATTGTTACTAGATCTACAACTATGCAGTCACTTTTTAAAGTCCAGCCACAATGTTTTTTGCTGAGAATTTCTGCATCAATAAATACAGGTTGATCATGCACTGTGTAATGAAACAGCCTTCCTCGTGCAACTTTTATCTAAGACAATACAACCCTAACCTAAAAATATCTTTTTAATACAAGCCAAAGCAAAAATAAAAATGGATAAGCAATATTTAAGGGCCTCTACTATCCTTGGCATTGGCAAAAGCTTTCTTTTCTTAAAAGTGGGTCATTCCAGGAGGTGAGACTGAAAAAGTACTTGCTATATGAAAGGAGGTCCTAGTTTTGAAAATAAAGTTAAAGACTAACCTTTATGGTTAATTTGTTGGTAGGAAAGGTGAAAAAAATATAAGGTTTCTATAAGACGAAGCTAGTAACCTGCACAACTTTTTGATGGGAAAACAGTAATACTAAAATAAGTTGTTCACTTACTGACTCTTGAGAAGTAAGATTCAGCTTTAAAGTAGCTTCGCTGATCTAACTGGGATTCTCAGCCCATATGTCCCTAAAGCAACTAAAAGGGCAGAGGTCTTACAGACCACTCACATATCTCCTGCTCCCAAGAGGAATTTCAACGTTGTCACAATGTGTTTCAAAAATTGACAACCCTGGAACTCATACCACCTATCAGCTATGTTCTACACTCATATATAAAAGACAAATGTCAAAGCATGTCAACATATTTAAGGTGCTAACTTCTGAAATGCCCTTCTTTCAAAAGCCAGGGAAAAATAGCAAAAATCTTCATATAATATAATAGCAATAAAAATAGCAAAAATCTTTGCCCATGGATATGATGCCCCATTCTGCACACCTGCTGCAGAATGTTGAGACCCATAAATCTGAATGAGAAGCAAATACTGTACCAAGTACTAACAACAGAAAAAGCTGTGTGAGCTTGTGAAACAGAAGCATGATCTCATGAGTTTGCCATTTGAAGTGCATGCCCAGATGAGTCACTCAAAACATATCAAACTGCACGTTGCACTTTAATTCTATTAAATTGCTTACCTTCATTTAGCAATGATTTGGGTTATCCAAAAGCTAGCTCTCTATTTTGAGGACAATTAAATGCAGTTTAACTTTACTCCATAACAATCTTCTTGGTATTCCCCTGTTCCCCAAACAGCATAGTAAATTTTGCCCTCTACTGCAAACAAAATCTTACCACAATTTTTGAGATGTGAGAAGTCCTCAGAACCAGATCTGGATGGATTATCTATTTCTAAAATGGGTTCTCTGGGAATTTCTAGGCTCCACCTCCTGGGTGTACTGATTTAGCAAAGTTGTGGGTGTCAGAGAGTGAAAGGATCCTGCTATAGTAATATATGCCTGGAAAAAGAGTCATGGTTTAGCACTTTCTAGCAGCTGGTATCTCATCAGGACCACAAAAGAACTGAACAGATTAGTCTGCAATGATGTAAAAGCAGAATGGAGCTGAAAAATAAAAGAACTAGCAGGTGAAGTAGCAATTCTGGTATGAAGGTCCTTAAATCTGAATGGCTGTCTAAGAAACAGAGGATTAAAGTTGGAACAAGTCTGCAGTCAAGAAAAGTGGTAACAATTCAAGAAAAAAGTACTCCTTTTGTTAGAATACAGAATCTCAGAGAAGTAGGACTCCATAGTAGCAAGGAGAATCATAGAATCATAGAATATCAGGGTTGGAAGGGACCTCAGGAGGTCATCTAGTCCAACCCCCTGCTCAAAAGCAGGACCCATCCCCAATTAAATCATCCCAGCCAGGGCTTTGTCAAGCCTGACCTTAAAAACTTCTAAGGAAGGAGACTCCACCACCTCCCTAGGCAACGCATTCCAGTGTTTCACCACCCTCCTAGTGAAAAAGCTTTTCCTAATATCCAACCTAAACCTCCCCCACTGCAACTTGAGACCATTACTCCTTGTCCTGTCCTCTTCCACCACTGAGAATAGTCTAGAACCATCCTCTCTGGAACCACCTCTCAGGTAGTTGAAAGCAGCTATCAAATCCCCCCTCATTCTTCTCTTCTGCAGACTAAACAATCCCAGTTCCCTCAGCCTCTCCTCATAAGTCATGTGTTCCAGACCCCTAATCATTTTTGTTGCCCTTCGCTGGACTCTTTCCAATTTATCCACATCCTTCTTGTAGTGTGGGGCCCAATACTGGACACAGTACTCCAGATGAGGCCTCACCAATGTCGAATAGAGGGGGACGATCACGTCCCTCGATGTGCTTGCTATGCCCCTACTTATACATCCCAAAATGCCATTGGCCTTCTTGGCAACAAGGGCACACTGCTGACTCATATCCAGCTTCTCGTCCACTGTCACCCCTAGGTCCTTTTCTGCAGAACTGCTGCCTAGCCATTCGGTCCCTAGTCTGTAGCGGTGCATTGGGTTCTTCCGTCCTAAGTGCAGGACCCTGCACTTATCCTTATTGAACCTCATCAGATTTCTTTTGGCCCAATCCTCCAATTTGTCTAGGTCCCTCTGTATCCTATCCCTGCCCTCCAGCGTATCTACCACTCCTCACAGTTTAGTATCATCCGCAAATTTGCTGAGAGTGCAATCCACACCATCCTCCAGATCATTTATGAAGATATTGAACAAAACCGGCCCCAGGACCGACCCCTGGGGCACTCCACTTGACACCTGCTGCCAACTAGACATGGAGCCATTGATCACTACCCGTTGAGCCCGACAATCTAGCCAGCTTTCTATCCACCTTATAGTGCATTCATCCAGCCCATACTTCTTTAACTTGCTGGCAAGAATACTGTGGGAGACCATGCCAAAAGCTTTGTTAAAGTCAAGATACAATACATCCACTGCTTTCCCTTCATCCACAGAACCAGTAATCTCATCATAGAAGGCGATTAGATTAGTCAGGCATGACCTTCCCTTGGTGAATCCATGATGACTGTTCCTGATCACTTTCCTCTCATGTAAGTGCTTCAGGATTGATTCTTTGAGGACCTGCTTCATGATTTTTCCGGGGACTGAAGTGAGGCTCACTGGCCTGTAGTTCCCAGGATCCTCCTTCTTCCCTTTTTTAAAGATTGGCACTACATTAGCCTTTTTCCAGTCATCCAGGTCTTCCCCCGTTCGCCACGAGCTTTCAAAGATAATGGCCAATGGCTCTGCAATCACAGCCGCCAGTTCCTTTAGCACTCTCGGATGCAACTCGTCCGGCCCCATGGACTTGTGCACGTCCAGCTTTTCTAAATAGTCCCTAACCACCTCTTTCTCCACAGAGGGCTGGCCATCTATTCCCCATGTTGTGATGCCCAGCGCAGCAGTCTGGGAGCTGACCTTGTTCGTGAAGACAGAGGCAAAAAAAGCATTGAGTACATTAGCTTTTTCCACATCCTCTGTCACTAGGTTGCCTCCCTCATTCATTAAGGGGCCCACACTTTCCTTGGCTTTCTTCTTGTTGCCAACATACCTGAAGAAACCCTTCTTGTTACTCTTAACATCTCTCGCTAGCTGCAGCTCCAGGTGCGATTTGGCCCTCCTAATTTCATTCCTACATGCCCGAGCAATATTTTTATACTCTTCCCTGGTCATATGTCCAACCTTCCACTTCTTGTAAGCTTCTTTTTTATGCTTAAGATCTGCTAGGATTTCACCGTTAAGCCAAGCTGGTCGCCTGCCATACTTACTATTCTTTCGAGAGAGGGTGGGTCATGGAATCCATGTGGACAACAAATCTCAAAGAACCACAATTATCGTAGGGTAAGTAACCGTTATTTGTTCTTTGCGTGATTGTCCATATAGATTCTATTCTTGGTGATTAACAAGTCATTATCTGTTCGTTTGGAGACCTACTTAACAGTGACTGTGAGACAGCCCTTCCAAAAAACATACATCTGATTTGGAGGCTTCTACCAAAGAATAGTGTCTTGTAGAGGCATGGACCAAGCTCCATATAGTGCTCTACAAATTTCATGCACAGGGACATTGTTCAAACAGGCAGCAGAACGTGCCTGAGCACTAGTGGAATAAACTCTAATATGATCAGGTGGATCTAACCCAGCTAACTCCTAGCATGTCCTTATACAGTTGGAGATCCACTTAGATAACCTCTGTAAGGATATAGGATATCCTTTAGCTCTACTTGCAAAGATGACAAATAGTCTAAGTATGTTCCTGAATGATTTTGTCCTGTCAATATAAAGAGACAGTGCTCTTACTACATCTAGTATGTAAAGGCTGGCTTCCTCCGGGGCTAAGTGAGACTTGGGGGGGAAAATGGGAGGTGAATGGATTGGTTTATATGAAACACTGAGACAACTTTGGGCAGTAACTTGGAATGAGGCCTGGCAGTGACCCTGTCCTTATGAAACACACTGTACAAGGAGAACATGAGGGCCTGAGTCCACCTTACCCTTTGAGCTGAGATAAAGGCTATTAAAAAGGCATTTTTAATTGATAGGTGGTACAGGATAGGATTGATAGGAACAGGTGGGCGGTGCTCCTTTCTGCCTGTCAGAGGATGCCAAGATAGCGATAGACTCATGAAAACTCTGAGAAGATCTGGCCTGAGAGCTCAGGGTGGAATCTTGGCTCTCCAGGCACTAACAGAGAGAGACTGACCGGATGGCTGAGGCCTTACACTAGTCTTCCACTCAGTGTCTGAAGAGGCTCACATTGATCTCTTGAGGAGTGCACTTGGAGAAAGACTGACAAATGGAACATTGCCACTGGATGTGTCCCTCTCCTCTGCACAGTAGACACTGGGAGTGCCCGTGTCAATAGACATCAAAATATTGTACAAGGGATAGGTCTTGAATCCTAGAGATTTCGCTTCTGCCACATTTCTATTACATATCGCTAGCCTAACTGAAGTTTTCTAGCATATGTGAATCTTATCTAAGAAGTCATTAACTTTTAATAGTATATATATTGCCAACAGGCAATTAACTAAGATAAGTAACACTAGCTCAGTGTGCAGAGAAAAGGGGTTCCATCTCACTGCCACAGGTGATAAGAAAGAACTAAGGGATAGTTGGGCCCACTCTGCCCTTTATATCCTCAGATGGAGGGTGTGAGGACATCTAGGGTTGATACAGCCTGTTTGGACACTGCTGGCAAAAAGAATCCAATCTCATGTACACGGGGTATAAGTGTGTCAACAGTGGAATCCATGTGGACAACATATCTTCAGTAAGAACTTAAGCCCTCAAGTCACTCAGGCACTTCCGAAATGTTACCTTACATATGAATAAATTCAGGATCAGTTGAGTACTTCAAAAAGGAATCACCATAATAAGAAAACTCTCAAAAGCATGATGACTCTCTGCTGAGAATTGTAATCCAGCCATGCTGCATTTTACAAGATAGTTATGGGGTTTTATAAAATTCATTAAAATGCTCCGTGGAATCAGTGTTGTGAATGTCCTTAATTTTTGCACATTTCCCACCCTGTCCAGCTGATAGCACTGTATTGTCTCTAGTGTCCAAACTGGATCTTTTTGCTCTTATTGTAAGTGAGAGTAGTTAGGAAAATAGAAGACTGTGGTATTGTTAATGTATAACAAAATCAATCCCTCCCTCTCCCTTCCACCAGAAAATGCATCCTTTTATAGGATAAACAATTCATTTCTAATTTTTGTACAAGGTCATACATAAACAATTTAAACGTATAAATGTGTATGGCCCAATCCTGAACACACATGTATAGGTGTTTGCAAGGTCAAGACATGAACTATCTACTTTTCAATTTTGTTTCCTCTGCAACATGCAGTTTTATTTCAACTTTCCTTCACGAATACAACAGAATTTTAATTAAAGTGCAAATTATATTCTAGAAAGTGACTGCAACAATGGCACTGCAGGGTTCCCTGCTTTCTGTTTCGCAATATCTCCATGTAAAAGGTACTCAGTTTGTAACAAAAAGTCATTTTCCACCCCCTTCCTAGCTGCCATCCCTGCAAACTCAACCTGGGATCTGAGAGGTAAGTTGGGTTCCCTTCTGCCTGCACGTGATGATAGACTATAATGATCTGATACACTGAATACAGGCAGGGAGTAGAATTCAGAGTAAGATCTGTTGTTTTTACAGTCATATTTGAGGACAGAACCACAGTGTAAACTTCAGCCAAGATCTTACAAATTCTTTTTGATCAGGGTTTAACCTAATATTTACCTCTCTGATACAGCTTCTGCCTGATCTTCCTTTCTTTCAATCTCTAGGATTTCCTCCTCTGTGTACTCCAGTTTCACTCTCTCTTCTGCCAGCTCTCTCTCCACTGCTTCCAGCTGAGCTGTGGTCCTAGCTAATAGGGCTGTCACTGCATCCTGAAAGAGAAAACGGGTTTCAAATGAAACAGCTTAAACCAGGACTTAGCTTTTATGGAGTATTCAGAATAAAAGAAGTGTGTCCTGAATCATGACTTTATACTCACCAGGTGACCAAAACATAAATGCTGTTCAGTCACTGGAACGCTCCAGAGAGGTGGCAGCCTTTCATTGGGAAAGGGTGAATGTTTTACATTTATTTTAAATAGCAATAATAGGATTAGGGTTGAGCACTAGCATAAGTGCTTGCAGGATCTCAGCCTTTATTCTAGCAAAGTGTGGAAAACTGGATAAGATTTGTGATTTCTTTTAAAGATACTGCAAAATGTAAGATATTTTCAGATTCTTGAGGAGTATCAGTGTATACAACTGGAACAAAATACAGCCTAATATTAGTTGTCCTTCACAGAGAAAGGAATTAACCAATTACAATGCAGTGTTCCCTACAATGAAAACGTAAGTTTGATACTTCTATTTTATAAAATACTTTCAAAATACTGTTTTTTAAATCATCATCAAATACTGCAATTAACAGAACACAAAGCTCTCTCCCATATTAGAAAGCTATATTTTCTACTAAAATTCAGTGGTTCTGAAACTTTGTATGACCACCCATTTTCTGCAGCCTAAATGCTGCAGATTAGTTGAACAATTAAGCACATATGATGAGCATTGTATTATAATAGAAGAAACATTCATTTTTTTCTTTTGATGGTAACCCCTCCAACAAAAACAAAGTTAAAATTTCACCTGTGTGTGCAGATAGTATACAAATTCCACACAGGAACAAACAAACAAACTTGTAGAGGATGAGGCTCCACTTTAAGTTAATACCGATTTCACTGGCCATACCGATTTCACTGTAGCTGTATTTCCAGAACTCTGTGGAGTGCTTTCTTCACACTGGTTTTTCTCCTTCACCCTTTGTGGGTCTGAACCAGTGAATATCTGGACAGGATACCAGTGAAGCTGCATCTCAGTGGAACTCTCATGATCAGCCAGGCTAATCTGAGCGATGCCCTGTAAAAACAATAGGCCAAAATAAGCAAAGAATATACTTCCCATTCACAGAACTCTCTCATTTAATAGAAATACTGCATCAAAATAGTACACGTTATGGGTGACCGGCAATGGAAAAAAGTATAAAGTCTCCCTTGTTTTTATTATTTATGATGTATACCAAAAAAACAAACAAACAAAAACAAAAAACACCTTTCTTCCCACACCCCAACCCCACAAAAGAGAATTTTTTTTTTTAAATTAAGAATCTAATTGCTAAGTTTGATGTTCCTGAGGTTTACTGGATACTGTGTTAGAAAGCTCAGCTCTTTATCTTTTACAAAGACAGCTTTTCGCTCAAGTGTTAATTCATATATTTGAGTTAAATTGTCATTAACGAAAAAAATTAATCTGAATAAAAATCACTACTGTTCTCAGTGAATCGAGTCTTCCAGGGGTGAAAAACAAAAAAAGATAGATAAGACCAGAATTGCTATGTAAAAAACAAGTAGTAAAAGCTTTCAAGCTTTCCTTATACATCATAAAGAAGCCAAATTGGAAATAAACGAAATTTGTTTCCTTTGTAAGTCACCTTTAGAAGTCCCAAAATTCAAGGGGGCAACAAAGAATGAGGGATGAAGTGACCCTAATGAAATGTTAGCCTAATTCACCCATCTGCAACTTATGCCTTTATCTAGCTAGCCATGGGACTTTATATTTCTATGCTATGAACCTACCAGCAGGGGTCTATTTCATTGAAATGGGTTATGTAAAAAGTATGGCTTAGATCTCTCACAATACAGGTTGGCTGAAGAAGTGTATCTAACAGTACAGTAAGTTAGTAAATGTGTTCAGAAATTGTAATTTAACTTTAAGCAGATTTTTAAAAAAAAGACTTAATTAGAAAATGTGTAAAGTATTTATTTTATTTGTTTCCATGCCAAAAGTTCCCTAAGGCTCTGTTTGAACAAGTGGACAAGGGACAAATGATTGCAATGAACAAAATAAAATAACATATTGGGAAATAAATTATGGAGACTATAACAATTTTATGTCAATATTGCATACCACAAAGTAAGACACGATTCATTTGGTATATTTGTTGCATCATCCAAAAAAAAGGACTGTCTTGTTCCACAGCTGATATTTATTTTGGCTCAATATTAGAGAAAGAAACATCTTTTGCAGATACTGACACTAAACATCAAAAGGTGGAGGGTTCTATTAGAGAGGTTTGTATTTGTTTTTTAAAGACACAAACATTCCTCCAGAGTAAGCTCTGATAGAGACAGATTAGTTAAGTCAAACAAGGACTGCAAGATGGAAGCTATACAACAACTTTCATATCTTTACTCTTTCCTATATCCGTGAAATATAGGGCTATTTGGGAGAACATTTCTTAGATTCTCTCTCTTGCTTAATCAAGGCCCAATTGAGCTTTGAATCTTTTCTGTGGGAAAATCACTAACTGGGGTGGTACAGGTGAAGCGAAGGCAGCCATCAATGGTGGCACAGAAAGATGAATAGGATACATGGATCAAAGGCATGGAGAAGGCTGTAATCTTCTTCTTGGAACAGTTTTCGGAATGATAACACAGGAGATCACCACTATGAGTATGAAGGACCAGTTCACAACGAAAAGAGTATATAAGAAAATCCATTTTCAGGCCACTAAGAAAGGATGACTTGTATGCAACACTTTGAACTGTTCTTTTGTCAATCTTTGGTGGCAGCAGCAACTATAATTCTTTTACTTTTTCCAACACAATAACTTTCTAAGTAATAATATATTATTAGTATTCTTAATCGACCAAGTCTCACAGGAATCTGTGGACCAGCATTCTATTCATTTTAATAAGGCTCTGCATTGAAAAAGTGATGAAATACAGACAGTCCTCAGTCTTATGACACAATTGGTTCCTGAACATTGCGTCGTAAGTCAAAACGTCGTAACTCGGAACCGCAATCCACACAATTGCGGGACCAAGTGTTGTAAAGTATTGTCGTAAGTCAAATCAGGGTGTCAATTCAGAAGTATTGTAAGTGCCGTTCGTCGTAAGTCGAATGCTGTGAAGTCAAGGACTGCCTGTAACACCACAAATATACAGCAGGTAATATTAAAATTTTGGCATTCTCCAAGACAGGGGTGGGCAAACTACAGCCTGTGGGCTGGATCTGGCCCATCAGGGCTTTGGATCCGGCCCATGGGATTGCCACCCCATAGCGTCGCGGGCCCCACCACTGTTCCTGGAATCGGCCGGCACCACGTCCCTGCAGTCCCTGGGGGAGGGGAGTCAGAGCGCTCCGCGCGCTGCCCTTGCCTGCAGGCACTGCCCACCACCGCTCCCATTGGCCAGGAACAGGGAACCATGGCGAATAGGAGCTTGGGGGAGGTACGCACAGGTGAGGGCAGCATGTGGAGCCCTCTGCTACTCCCTCCCCCAGGGGCCATAGGGACATGGTGCCAGCCGCTTCCAGGAGCAGAGCAGTGCGGGGCCAGGGCAGGCAGGGAGCCTGCCATGGCCCCGGTGCGCACAGCTGCCACCCCGAAGCTGCTCCAAGTAACCGGCGCTGGGTCGGAGCTGCACCCGAACCCCTGCTGCAGCCGGCACCCCAACACCCTGCCCTGAGCCCCCTGCCGCACCCCTCCTACACCCCAACTGCTTGCCTTGAGCCCCCTGCTGCAGCCCACATCCCTGCTGCACCGAACCCCCTGCCGCACTCCTCGCTGCACCCCTGCCCTGAGCCCCCTCCGCACCCTCTCCTGCGCTCCAACCCCTTGCCCTGAGCCCTTTCCTGCGCACTACATCCCAACCCCACATTCATGGCCCTGAATGCAATTTCCTCATGCAGCTGTGGCCCTTGGGCCAAAAAGTTTGCCCACCCCTACTCCAAGATCTGTAATACTCTATTTTTAGCTAATTTCTTTGAACATTTAGAGAGGGATTTTCAAAAGTTCCTAAGTGAATGAGAAGCACGAGCTCATTGACTTTGAAAATGGCTTCTGAAAATCCCATCCTTAAATTATATTTAAATTACAGGCAGTCCTCAACTTTACGACGTTCAGCTTATGACGAATGGCACTTATGACACTTCTGAATTGACACCCTGATTTGACTCATGACCACTGGTTTTGACTTTACAACGCTGGGCCCTGCAATGAAGTGGATTGTGGTTCCAAGTTATGATGTTTCGACTTATGACACAATTTTCAGGAACCAATTGTGTCGTAAGTCCAAGGACTGCCTGTATTTCTTGTTAGTTAGACAGACCTCAGACAGACAATTATACCAGTTATTCTTGTTATCTACATGGAAAAATACCCCTGATGATGACTACTCCAAAAAGATGCTCTGTATCAATACACTCCCTTCAGATTCCAGCTACATTTCTCTTATGCTTCAGAAAAAAATCAGTCCTTTTGGTGTCCTTTGCTGATACGGAAGTGACTTTTATTAAGGAACTTAGAGCACACAATACCATTTTTTTTTTCCAGGAAAAATGGACCATTTACCAAGAGTTCTTCTTGCTGCTGGTGGTCAACTGAACAAATATACAGCTGCAGCGATTTTAATTTCAATGCACTTGAATGCACCGGGATTCGGAAAACGTCATTAAATATTAACGGGGTTTGGAATTCCAAAGCTCTGGAGCAGTAAGTGGTAGGTGTGCCTGACTCCAGTGGAGGTAAGTAAACTCGAACATGTCTGGGAACAGAAAAACAAGCAAAAACCAGCACAACTGAAATAAAGAAAGCTAGGTTCAAATTATTTTTTAAGTTTCTAAAATTTAAACTGAACAATAAAAATAAATGTAATTTCTACATTACCGACACACGCTTGCAACTCTTCATTAATGGAGTTTAGTCTTGCATTCGTTAAGTGAAAAAAACACAAGGTTGAGCAGTTCTTCCACTTTCCAACTCTACTGATTAACCCGGAGACATTACAATATAGCTCTTGTTATTGTGTCCTGTTGACCCCCCCTCCCTGCCCTCTTGGAGTTTTGCTGGAGAAGTGAGGCAGGAGGGGAAGAAAAGAAAGGTCACGGAGGGTGCCTTACGATTGACAATCCCTTACCTGCTTCTTTCACCGATGAAACTCCAAGCCCAAATTAGTAGTCACTACCTTTTAGGATGACCGTCACTATACGTGGCTCTCTTCAGAGACTATGAAAATCTCTCTCATTACATAGGAGCATGCGTTAAACAATACAAGATGATCCTTACATCCCCTTCTATTCCCAAGAAAAACAAACCTTTGTATTCTATGTATGGCAGCAGACTAACATTAGGACAGTGACCCAGCTTATTTTGAATTATTTTTAGCTGTAGCTTGGAGGAGAGGGGAAAGAACAAGCTTTATGATCAAGAGGCCTTATGTTAATTTAAGAATCCCATTGGAATGATTTACTTTACAACGCTCATAACAGTTCTACAGTACTTAAACTTTCCAAAGTTTTCAGGCAAGTTCATTGGGCAGAAATAAAAGCAGACACCTAATTTTCATGGTCCCGATCGTTTGTCATTAATTTAGAGATATATTGTCAGCTAAGTTTCATCTGATGTTTAAATACAGAAATATAATTTCTGTAACTTTGGGTAAGAAATATTGTAAATACACCGAATTAGAAATGTAGGTATATGTTCTATATATTGTGGCAAAGAAATGGAAGGGATGAATTGTCATACTATTAGACCATATGTAGAGAGACTATAATTCCTCATTCTGAGACTCTGTCAGATAATTTCTTTGTTAAAATTAGTTTATCTTTATGGATTCTATCCCAAATGGTCTTTATAGCTGCAAAACCTACAGAAGTACACAGTGCTCCTGGGCTTTACAGCTGGATTATTACAATTAGCTAAGGGTCATAAATCATTACTTATGCGAGTAAAGGTTGCCATGACTGGGCCTCTAAGACAACTATTTCCTTAATGGTCACTTGTTAATGTCCCTGAATATTAACACAATGCAACCTGCCCTCCCCACACTCCCCCAACTAGATGGATATAAAATTACCAAAATTTTCACGCTTCCCCAAATATTGTACCATTTTATACAAACAGCATGTAGCCAGATTTATTGCACATTTGTGGTTGGGGCACAAAATAAGCAATGATCTGTAATAATCAGACCTTTAGTGATATTTGAGCTTACATTTTGCAGCCTTCTTTCACAAAGACACCAATAAAGTTCTTCAGCTGTAACACATGGACTAGGAGACATTCACATCCACCATCATGCCTGGAAAAATAAATTGCCTGAGTAAGTTAGCAGAACTCAGTGTTTAGCTTGCCAAATTTGGAGGGAAGAATACAAATGTTACAAGGAAGAAAAACAGCTATGTTCAGAGTAAGATAAATCTTTTCTGTATATGCGGTTGAATGAAGTTAGTTAAAATTCTGTTGACATCCAGTGTGATTCTGGGTACCACATTCTGGTAAGAGAAACACAATATTATTACAATACTACACTAAAGAACCTATTAGAACCAACAGCATAAGAATCAAGTACTATTAAATTAAAAGAAAAAATCTCATCCATGCTACCACCCCTCAGCTACAACTGGGGCTTACCTATCCACAAACATTGTATTGCTTTCATTATACGGCTATAGTTAGAGCAGTACAACCACCTTCATGTAGATGAGGTTGTATCAGCATGAAGGTGCGTTATGCCACTAGAGCTCTTTTCATATGGGAAGGGGAATAAGCTAACACAGCTGTAAGGCACCTTTATACTGATTTAACTGCATCCACACTAAGAGTTGTACCAGTGTAACTAGATTGATAAAAGCATCTGCATCAGTTGCAGTTTGCCGTGGTCTACATTCTTTCGCTAATTCATGCGCTGTATAAATAAGAGTTAACTTTTTCATGTCAACATTAATTTGGAAACTGAACAAACAAGTTAAACCTATTAGCTGAGGATCTGTGATGCACCTCTTAGAGAGACGGAGCAGAACTCATAGCCTCGGTGCAGGACTGCTCTGCAGGCTGACAGGCCCCTGGCATAACACAGACTTGGTGGCCTGTCTAGGTGCCTGTGGCTGCCATACAGGTGGCAGTGCTACCTGAAATCCCTTCAGCACGGTGTGCTGTGACCAGCCCTCCCCCCAGTACCAGGGCTTGCAAGGGGATACTTGAGAGGCAGCCTTAAACCGGTCTTCCACTGTGCCTTATGTGACACTAAGGGGCCAGAGAAAGGATGATGATCTCATGTACTGAGACAAATCCTCATCATCTTACTCACACAAGAATTCCAAACAATGAAAAGGATACTGTTGAAACAGCTGGAAGGATGGAAAAGTGCGGCAAACCAGGTGCTCCTTTGCCAACCAAGGTAGAGGGAACTGAATGGAATGCCTGATGGTAGTATTTATATACTTCAGTGGTTGGTACATGATATCCATTAAGGGCCTGGGTCATGCCCACACCCAGCTACCACTGCCCTCAGTGTTCAACGCTTAACAGATAAGACCCGAGAAGGAGAATCCTGGTGGGCAGTATCTACCAAAGAACCCAAGTAGCATTACTTACAGGAATCCAACATGTATTTGTGGTTCTTCACTACTAGCAACAACATCACTGTAAACAGGGTCTTCAACATCCTCATTCCTACATGGAAAAAAAAAAGCCAACTGTAAATTACACGCTGATTTGGAGGGGTTTATTTTATGATTAAAATGGATATATCCATTTAAAATGCAAAAAATGGATACAAGCTTTGTGACTTGTTTTGTGACCTGAAACACTGCAAATCAGAAAACATGGGAAAAGCTCATTAGGTAATCTAGGGTATGTCTACACTGCAGTCAAACACCCACAGCCGGCCCGCATCGGCTGACTTAGGCTTCCAGGTTTCAGGCTGCAGGACTATAAAACTGTCGTGTGTATGTTTGAGCTTGGGCTCCAGCCCAGGCCCTGGGACCCTGTGAGTGGGAAAGGTTCCAAAGCCTGGGATCCAGCCCGAACCCAAACTTATACACTGCAGTTTTATAGCTCTGTAGCCCAAGCCTAAGTCAGCTGGCACAGGCCAGCCACATTTGTATTATTTAGATGTAGACATACCCATAGTTAGGGTCCTGCCACTACAGGACATTCAGCTATATGTTCTACAGTGGTTACGCTAGACCAGTGTTAAATGATTCAAGGAATGGGCCTTCTACAGCTTCTCTGGAAAAATTATTTCACAGTCCAAGAGATGTCACTTTTAGAATGATTTTTTTCCAGATATTCTTTCCTTGATTGCTGTTTTACAGTGTTTACACACTTGTATATTGTTATACATGCTCCCCTTAATCATCATTTGGCCAAGCTATACATTTTAGTTTTACAATTTTCCACAAAAATCAATTATTCCTTCCTTTTAATCATTTTTGTTTCCCTTCTGTTTCCAGAACTGTAAATAGTATTTTGTAGAATAGTGTTTTCATGTTGATAAAATACAAATAGAATACATGATGACAGATGCTGAAATCAGAAAAGTGTTAGGATATGATGAGACAGCCAAAATAATTCAGCAAGAGGAAAAAGCAGCATTTTACATGTAAAAGGGAAAAAAATCTTATAGGTTGTTAGGAGAGGTACAAGGTGGAAGTGACATAGAACACCTGTGAAGATGACAGTGGAATGGCATGTAGTCAGCCTCCATTCTTTCTAAAGTGTTTTAACCTAATATTCTTACATTATTAAATATTAGGCATTATCACATAACCGGTAAGAAAAAATTATACCCATTTTAGAAATTTACAAACTATTTTTGCAGACTTTATGTGGTAGAAAAAGGACATTTCCAATTTATTGTGCATTTATACACCTGACCTTTTGCTTAAAGCTTCAAACACGCCACTGTCACTAGCCAGTGAATAATCGGATAGACATGCTGAGACTCGCCTGGCTCGCCTCGCCGACCTTCTTGCACTGTCTTCGCGTAGAGTTACGGCTACAATGGACGGCAAAAAATTAAAGAAAGTGTCAGGTTGCGATAATCCCTCACAATGCACTACATAAAAAGCAAATTTAATCCCTCTTAAACAGCCCAAACAAACATACAGTTGATGTAAATACAATTACACATGCTGGAACATTATTGCAACTTAGAACAATATATAAAATGGATTGGAGTTACTTTGCTGGAGAATTTAGGAAGGATGTTGATGGCTAATTTCTCCATGACAAGATAAAATAGAAACTGATCTCCTCACTATGCAATGTATTCCTGAGAGAACCACCACCACCAATGGGGTAAGCCTTAAACTGCCTCAACCCCAGCATGTATACACACACTATAGCCTAATATTAGGATTTACCTATTAACCATCGATTTATAAATGTGTGACACACTGGAAATATCCATAATGCCTATTTCTTTTAACCTAGCTAAAAAGTAAAGATTTAGGAAGGAATTTGCTGTTGGCAGTATGGGGATGTTATTTGTTTTTAAACATTAATTCCTCAACCACAAATCAAACTGCCTTAGTCAGACCATAGTAGCAGCTTCTACTTGCAGTATGAGGCACACTGTCAAAATGGACCTGAACCTGACAAGCAGAGGTGGGTGACCCTTTTTTAAAATAAAAAATAAAATTTAAAAAAAAAAAGATGAATTTTTTTTAAAAAAAATTGACATTCCCCTTCTCCTCACCCTTACAAGCTAACTCAAACAAAAATAGTATGGGCAATCACTTTCATATCATAAGGTACATAACAGAATGTATGCAAAATAGTTTTGCATATACAAGTGAGTATTGCAGTGTAGAACCTCAAATGGGCATGCACAAGTGACAGTGCTCAAGAACTGAGTGCAAAGTTATGCACATTCAAAAGGCCCTGTACGTTCTGAAATTCCATCTCTTGAGTCTCTGAGAGATTTACTTAAGTGTTTCCTCATTGCACAGGTATCGCACATGATCTTTCCAAATTTAATTTCCCTTCCCTCAAAGGCAGAATTAAAACAGAAAACAGGAAAGCAACTAAAAATGTTTTAAGGAAGGTGAGTAGTGAGATGTGGCATTCACAAGTGGGGTAAAACAGAAACATATAATTCCCCTGTCTATCCATGCTGTGATATTTCAAGGGGTGGTTTTGAGGTGCATCAAACTGCAACAAGCAACCCTTTCAGACAACTGTGTTTTTGCACATGCATGGATGGTAAGGGACAGTACATTGGAAAAAAATGACTAAAGCATACAGCCTATTACTATGGAGAAAGTACACAATGTATACTATGACAAACAGAAAGCACAATTAGTTAATAAGTGCATCCTAAAGATTAATTATTTTAATGAATGGCAGTAAAACATTAATATTCACGATGGATGAAAAGCACCGCACAGTGCAAAGGGCCAGCACACTGCTGGGCATACGTGATGCGCAGGCCTTGGGCAAACCCTCTGCACTAAGGTGAATCTCAGCCCCTTTTGAGGGCAATATGAAGAGGACCGCGTAATTACTTATGTCATGCTCACGAAAGCCTTCAAATTACTGCATGTGTGCAGCTGCTGGTTTTCAAATATCAGTACCTGCTGTCACCAGAAAACTTTGGTCAGGATTAAATTAATCATGTGTTTCAACCTTCTACTGGACCACTTCACAATGGAGTTTAGCTATCACCTAAATCAATGGGTCTCAACCAACGGTACATGTACCACTGCGGGTACGCAGTGGTCTTCTAGGGGGTACATCAATTCATCAAGCTATTTGCCTACCTTTACAACAGGCTATGTAACAAGCACTAGTGAGTACAAACTAAAATTTCATATTGAAAAGGACTTGTTTATACTGCTCAATATACTGTACACTGAAATATAAGTACAATATTTATATTCCAATTGATTTATTTTATAATTATATGGTAAAATGAGAAAGTAAGCAATTTTTCAGTAATAGTGTGCTGTGAAACTTTTGTATTTTTATGTCTGGTTTCATAAGCAAGTAGTTTTTAAGTGAGATGAAACTTGGTACAAAAGACAAATCAGACTCTGGAAAAGGGTACGGTAATCTGGAAAGGTTGAGAGGCACTGAGCTAGATGACTTACCTCATTGCAAGCCTGATATACGTTACAAACTCAAATGTTAAGAAAACAATGTATTTTGATACTTGCAAAAAGTGAAAAGACCTGTGCAGAATCCAGAATTCAAACAACTAGATGCAAGAGTATCCAAGTGTTTGCCTTTGTGGACTGATAACAAGCCATGTTTACCCTCCTCCAAATCTAATGTTTCTAGCTATCTATATCTACTTAGGAAATTTAGACCTTCAATCAGGAGCGTCCCAATCTCTTTCTAAATCAGTAGAAGTGTCTTTGAGCTTGAAGAAAGAATTAAGCTCTCCTGGATCATTGCTTCCCATCTTAATCGTCCAGTAAAGATCATCATGCAACAGAGTGCATCTCAACCTTACCAAAAATACAAGCAAACTTCTCATCTCCAGTTAATTAGAGGAAGCAAAGGACTGAAGAAACGATATTCAAATTATGATGATGTTTGCATAATACCCCAATATGAGGCCTTCAAGATGGCGTGTGACAGTGAGATTTTTTTATGCTACTCATTTCATTTTTTCGCTTGTCTACGTGAAAAAGTAGCATCAGCATAATTTAAGGTGTGAAATTAAAGTAGTACATTTTAACCGGTACAAAAGGCTGGATGGGCACTCTTATTTTAGTATAAGAGCAGCTTACTTTGGATTAGTTTAAGTCAATTAGGAACAGTTTCAGCTAGATTGATATAAGCCACTTTTACATCACAAAGTGTCCAGAGAGCCTTTTGCACCAGTGTAACTGTATTAGTTTAAACACCACCTCAAGTTACACTGGTGCAATTTTTCACTACATGGATGGTTTGTGTGGATATAGGAGACGAAAGTAAACCCTGCAACCATAATAGGCACTTTGCAAGCTCTCTGTTTTGGGCTGTCATCTTTTGGAAATCTGTCTGATACAAAAAATTGATCTCAAAATGCAACATGGTGAAGTCATGAATAAGTAATGTTACAACAATGTTGCAACTTACTAATGTTTTGCTTGCTGCCTGGCGGCCACGGAAACACCTGATAATATCAGGAAAATCCCACAGAATTTGGGATAGGTAGCAAATATCAGAACATGACTTTGATTAGAAAATCAACGTGAAAAACAGCTTGACAACCAGAAAGTAACACCTCTGGTTTTGGATCTCATGTAATGGGATTTACCACTAGTTTTAGTCAAAGTTGGAAACTGGAAAGTTTTATTTAAAATAAAATTTGGTATTTCTACTGTAGAGGCAGCATTTCATCTTTTACTATCTAACTCCGTATCTTAGAAATTTGGATACAAAATACTGACCTACACTTTCAGAAATGACTCGTGATTTTGGGTCAGCTGATACACCTTAAACAGGCCTGGTTTCAGAAAGTTCTGAGAATCCACTATCTGAAAAAGTGGACTTTTTAAGGTGTCTCAAACTAGCAGTTAAATAACTGAGGCACCAAAATCACCAGCTACTTTGGAGACTGTAACCCATGTTTTATGAACTTGAAGCGCTGTGTATCAGCTCAAAATGCATTTTAATAGCAGAGTTAAACAGTCTCCAGAAAATAAACTTATAATGGAGACACAAACAGACCCTTATCTGTAATGGTACTGTTGGGTATTAGCAAGATATAATAAAGCTGAAGCTTACAGAAAAGTTTTTCTGAGAAGTCATCCGCAGCCATGAATATAATGTTTAGTGGATATAGCAAAAACGTAAGTATCCCATAATAATTAAACATATACAATGTGATACCAACTAAAACCAAATGTAGCACAGCCACCCTCTTCTCCACATGCAAATCATAGAGAACATACACACCACACACAAAAAAACACGCTAAGCATTACAGGCAAAACCAGCACAATAAGTAATTCCAGGTTCACTTACAGTGCATTTTTCTGCTGTGTGGCATGAGAAACAAGATATAAAATGAAAAGCACACGGTGATAAATCATTTTTTTATACAAAAGATTAGACATTAAATGGAAACTTTATACCTAAATAATTGTATCTGGATCTGAATTTTCCCCAAGTTTGGTAATGTTTGGATCAAGGAGTTTAACTTGGCCCATTGTAGAGATAAGGGCTGGCTGTGAAATTTGGATCTAAATCCAAACTTCCCCAAAGTTCAGGGTTGTAGATATGGATTTTCTGTTTGGTTCCCTCTCTACAAGAAAACAAAATATTCCTCTATATTTAAATGAATATATAATTTAAACTAACAAAAATCATATTAATGATGGAAGTTCTTTAAAGTAAAATCCCCAGAAGAGGAGACAGGAAAAATGTAAAAGTTTAAAAACAATGTTCTATTCAGATGTGATTTTTCCCCCTGTGATCGTTGCAAGCCTCTTCCTGCAAGTGAGATGAATTCCATGGCTCAGTCGGGTTCTTTTTGTACACATCATAAAATCACCATATATTTTAGCACAATTCTTAGTATATTCTCAGGAGAGATGCCAGACTGGAGGAGCAGCAGAGGTGCCGGTCAACACTGAGGGGCATAAACAAGACATTTTGTGAAGAAATCTTGCATGCTGGCTACATGCAGTAAACAAGGGACTGTTTGCTGGGACTGTTAGTTTCTCCCCCACTTCCACGAGTAATAAAGTTCATCAAAATTACTACGCACTTTATTTTATTTGAATATTTAAGAAAGTTGTTTGAAGTGTCAGAATTAAGATTTGTTCCCTGTGCATTTATGCTACAACACCAGTAGGTGGCAGCAACCAAACACTTTGAACAAGAACTTAAAACCAACAAGCTAGCTTTAAGCCCCAGAGTTCCAATCTGTGGTATATGTACCCTGTTGGTACGTGAGCATCATGTTCCATCAGTTCACTTCACAACAGTTCTTCAGGTGATATGTGAACCAATAAAGTTTGAGAAATGCTGCTTGAAAACGGCTGCTATGAAACAGAATACAAACTATCCAAGTCAATCAATTTACAGAGTGCAAAAGAGTCAAGAGCCTTGGCAAGAAATGTAAAGGGGAACCATTTTTTCCTAAATAATAATTTTAAAATTCACACATTAAAAGCAGCTCAAGAGAACACCACCAGAATAATTCTTTGGCCTTGTACTGTTTTTCTATTTCCAATGTAAACATTGCATGCTATACACAGCGAAGAAATAGGTGACCACAATGGAACAGAAAGCGCTCTAGTGACAAAAGCAGAAGACAATGTTTAAATGAAAGAAAAGAGAAAAGACAGGAAAGAAAAGTTCATAGGGGGTGGGGAAAAGAGCTTAACTGAAGCAGCATCCCAGCCCCACTACAGCCTTCCTTATCTCAGCACTCAAATCAGGTCTTAATTTCTAGGAACTAAGTTTAAGCAGGGCCCTACCAAATTCACAGCTGTAAAAAACACGTCACAGACCTTGAAATCTGGTCTTCTCTGCGAAATCTGGTCTTTTGTGTATTTTTACCCTATACTATGCCATATTCTTTTACCCTATGCCTTCAGAGCTGTGCGCTGAGAGCACGGCGGCTGATGGTTGGGCACCCAGCACTGAAGCCAGCATCACTGCCAGCAGCAATGCAGAAGTAAGGGTGGCATGGTATGAACACATCTGCAAAATTTGCCATTTATGCTGTGACCAACCCACAAAAAATGTGTGATTTCTCCAAGATTTAATATACCCCTACATATTCAATTTGTGATCCACTATAGCCTGCAGCTCCTTTTCACCAGCGCTACCCCAGGGCCAGTTATTCCCCATTTTGTAGTTGTGCATTTGATTTTTCCTTCCTAAGTGTAGTACTTTGCGCTTGTCTCTACTGAATTTCATCGTGTTGATTTCAGACCAATTCTCTAATTTGTCAAGGATGTTTTGAATTCTAATTCTGTTCTCCAACGTGCTTGCAACCACTCCCAGCTTGGTTTCATCTTCAAATTTTATAAGCACTCCATTATCCAAGTCAGAAATGAAAATATGGAATGGTACCAGACCCAGGACTGACCCATGCAGGACCTCACTAAATATGTCCTCCCAGTTTGATAGCAACCATTGATAATTACTCTTGGAATATGGTCTATACCCACCTTAAACCAATTTAATCTATACCATATTTCCCTAGTTTACTTACGAGAATATCATGTAGGACTATGTCAAAAGCCTTATTAAAATCAAGGTACATCATATCTACAGCTCTCCCCCTGTCTCCCGTTCCCTCAATTCTAATCCCTAATGCCCCACTAATCCCTCAATTAGTGGCCCCCACTAAGCCAGTAACTCTGTCAAAGAAAGAAATTAGGTTGGTTTGGTCTGACTTGTTCTTGAAAAATCCATGACGACTATTCCAACTCTCGGGCCCTTTAGGTATTTACAAATTGATTAATAAATTTGTTCCAGTATCTTTCCAGGTATTGAAGTTAGGCTGACTGGTCTATAATTCCCCAGGTTCTCTTTGTTCCCCATATTAAAGGCAGGTATTATGCATGCCCTTCTCCAATTCTCTGGGACCTCACGCATTCTCCATGAGTTCCCAAAGATAACTGGTAATGGTTTATATGTGGGGAGCACCCATAATGAATGACCTGTTGTGATCATTTGCAATACAAGTGGAATAGTACCTATTTCAGGACAAATGGTATATATTTTTGAAAAGTGTGTTGTGGTAACCACAGATTTTAGAGTAGAGTTATTGTAAGAGTATAACTGCCCTTCCCTTCCTACACTTCAAGATCTGGAGACCCCTAATAGTCTCAACCAGCTCACTTGTTCGTTTTCCCCCTAAATTCCTGTATGCATGTCAGTTCATGTAAACAGAATAAGTGCTGGGTGGCACCCATCCACCCCAATTCTGGCCCAGATAACACTCACACATAGACATTACATACTCTGCCCACACAAATCAAGAAATACAGTAACATCATAGACTTACAAGCCAGTTGTGTTTGCCTGCCTCATACAATTGTAAAACAAAAGGGTCTGATCTGCATGAACCAGGTAGATTTCAAAGGGGTAATTACTGCTGTTACTTGTATTCTCTCATTGTTTGTTCCTAGTTCAGCCAGTTCAGGTTGTATCCCCATTTTCCTCCATCAAACTTACTGCTATTACTGAGTGTGTTAAGCACACAAAGAGAAGTGATATCAGCTGGGGCACAGTCTAAGACTCTTCAGGTTCTCTCATTCAGGAATTTTCCTAAGAAGTAAACACGCAGGCCTGGATTTTTTAATCAACAAAATTGGCATATTTTCAGAACAGTCCTGAAATTTCCATTATCAATTTATGTTGAAGTCTAAAAAAATTACTACACACACACATTCTCTGCACTTCACCTTTGAACAAAAAAATTTTTTAGTTTACATCAGTTGTAGAATTGTTTTTTTTTAATTAAATTAAAAAATAAATCAAACTGATAGCAGATGTGTATCCTCTATTATAATGCCATGCGTACATTTTTCTTGTGTTTTTCATTATCCCTTGAAGATTAAAAGAGACAAGATGGTAATGAAGAAAACAAACTCACCTCCACCAGTTTGGATATTTGCCAGGTGTGGTCCCATTTCTTGCAGTCCTTCATCATCCGCGGGGTAAGCAGGAGTCTGTGATGAAGTTGTTCCTTGGGTATCATCGTCACCCAAAACCGAGGCCTGAGCTCTGCGCATTTCTAGGGCTCCTACTCCCGCTATCTCCTCAAATCCTTCTGACATCTGGGCAAGTGGAGAATCCCGAGAAGCAGAAAGGAAGGGGGTGTCCAGAGGGGAACTTGGAGGGGACAGCGATGACAAAGAGGACCGTGATGACAGGGATGCCAGGGATTGAGGAGTATCCAAGGACCTCCTTTGTTTATTGAAGTTACAATGCCCAGTGGGATCAGAGTACTGCACATCTTTACTGAGAGAATCAAATGGGATCAGGTCAAAGCGTAGATGTTGTGCATAGTCAGTAACACTGTCTGATTTGTCATACTGTGGGAGGCCATATATGTCCGTGAAGCTGACAGAGCTTAGAGACCCTCTGCTGGACGCCAGTGATCCTCGGCTGGATGCCAGTGATCCCCTACTGCTGCCAGAAGACATTGTGAGGGTGCTAGCAGACAAACTAAAACAGAGAACGATCCATTAATATATGAATTATATAGCTAGGAACACAACATAGATAGAAAAATAACCCGTGTTAAGGTAGAGGATTTTACATGCATTCAGCATTGTAATACTTAGGTTAAGGGCCATCTTTCTTCTCCTCCCTTGCCTTAGGCATAAAGGTGATGAAAGTAGTATAAATGAGAACCAACTTAGGTCAGCATGCCTAAAAAGGAGAAGTGGAGCAAGAAGGATCACCACATCCCTTTCCTCAAATCTGCAGATGGCTCTCTGTGGGTTTTGGTGGAAAGGTGGCCAGAGAGAGGACTGGTGAAGGAAAGTCATAGATTCATGGAGTTTAAAGCCAGAAGGGACCATTAGCTATCTAGTCTCAATTCCTGTATAACACAAGCCATTTTATTTCAATCAGTCGCTTCTGACTTGAGTCCAATAACTTGGTTCAAGAGGAGTGGGACATCAGCAGAACCAGGAAAGTGTCATTCTTTACAGCAGGGATCGGCAACCTTTGGCTTGCGGCCTGCCAGGGTAAGCCCCCGGCGGGCTGGGACCTGTCGTGTCCACAGGTTTGCTGCGGGGCTGCGGGAAGCGGCGGCCAGGACATCCCTTGGGCCGCATCGCTTCCCACAGCCTGCACTGGCCTGGAGCAGCGAACCATGGCCAGTGGGAGCTGCAATCAGCCAAACCTGCAGATGTGGCAGGTAAACAAGCTGGCCCAGCCTGCCAGGGGGCTTACCCTGGTGGGCCGCATGCCAAAGGTTGACGATCCCTGCTATACAGCTTTATATCCAAGCAAACTCACAGAATTCCCATTTGAAAGCTCCCATTTGTGGGAGCTTTCAAGTTGCAATTTCAGCACGAACCCCATTCCTCTGCCACTCTACAAACGTGGAGATAAGAGTATAGCAGTGGTTAAAGTGTGAACCAGCAGGAGCTAGGCTCCTGCATGTGGTGTGCTGGTGAGATAAGGGGGTCCTCAAGAGGCTGATCCTTCATGGAGATACTCTCAAACCTGTAGGATTTCCCTGTAGACCTCAGGGCATCTTCTGTCCCCACCATAGCATGCAAACTCCTACTCTGGGTGACTATTGTCTTGGAATGTCAGAGTAGTGAATCTCTCAGAATGTTCCGAGCACATTTTATCCTCTTGCATTTTATCTCTTTCTCACTTCTGACTACGCTGTTTACCCTTTCCTGCCAGAAGTGAAGCCTGAGCTCATTTCTCTCTTCAACTCTTCAGTGTTTGTGAGGGAGAGGGGAGGTTGTTCGGACTGTGGGTAGTGGAAGTAGTGGCTCTTTTGCTGCTACTGCTGCTGCCACTGTACTCATGCTTTTCCTCCAGCTGAAAATTATAAGATTTGCATAAAACAGGCAGTCTGGAAAGAGCCAGTTCTGACAGTGGATGCTGGGAAGACACATCACAACCTTTTCTGTTTCTTCTTAGCCCAAACTCCAGTGCATCAAGTGCCTATTGTTTCTTCTTTCACATCCCTCCTCAGAATTAACTTCTCCCACAAAACACAGCCCATGTCAGTAAAATGCTGCCTCCCTGATTATATATTGACTCCTCATTTACCTTCCTCTTGTTACCTAGGAGTTGTGTGTCTGATCTGTACTGTCTATTTAGCCTGTCTTCTGTGTTGTTTTCCGGTACAGCACCAGAGACCATCAATGCTTAAGAAACAAGAAATCACTAATATGGGCTTAAGAATGGCACCCTGAATGTAACTGAATTTTCCGTCTTTTGTTATGTGTAGTTTAAAGGCTTAATCTTGTTTGTGTGTAAATTTTTATTTATAAACAAAAACAATAATAAAATGGGTTCATCTGTATTTCTCCTTTCCACATATTATACAGACAGATCTCACTAACTTTCAAACCAGGCAGTCCAGATAGCTATTATTAAAAGTGAAAAGTACATTTCTCCTTTTTAATAACACTCTATCCAAACCACTGAATTTACGACACATCAAATACTTTGCTAAACTGCAAGCTGTGAATGCCTTTCAGTGCCCAAACTGTACTTAAAGAAAAAGATCAACAAAGTAGAAACCAATGCCCATCCTTTACTTATATTACAAACACACAAAAGTAGTATGAAAAAGTAAAATGGTCTGTTCTGTTTGTACTTTTTCCTTTTTCTGTGCAATTCAATTTTTTTTTTTAAAAAATACTATTTTCTCTAAAGAACTCACCTTTTTAACTGGGAGTGTAAATAGGAGGCTAAACGAGTAGCTTCTTCCAGCTGCAAAAGCAAACAATTCCTCTTCTCCTGTAACAGTATCCTATAATTAAAAATTGCAATTATTATTTTTCTTCTTTTGTTTATATTGCAGTAGTGTTCAAAATGTGCTAAGAGCTTTCCAAACACAGAAGAAGAGACCGTTCTTGCTGTATTAGGAGTATTCAGTGAATCCTTTTTTAACAAATAGAATTAGTTCACTTAGGGCAATACACAGTGTTTAATCCATGACGGAACTCCCATTGAGAGCATAGGAACTGTGAGCACTTACAGAACTGCAGTAACTGAGGAATAGGGAACCAAAAGAAAACACAAGAGCTCTGGTGGTGAAGGTATATAACAGAAATTGCCAAGGCCTACCGTATGGTGACATGTAAGAGGCAGGAGCAGCTGATTAAAAACAGTAAGACTTCTTTTCTTCCTGGTGTCAATATTATAGCTCAAGTAATACAGAGAAAACTATGTCACTTAACTGTATGTTGCAGGAAAAAGTACATGGAAGTACCTCAATTACCCATACAGATTGAAAGTCAAACATCAAAAGGAAAAGACTTTTTTTTTTGGATAACTTCTGTTCTGTTAAGCAGTTTATCACCAAACTCTGTGATCCTGGCTTTCATTCAGATATACTGTGGCAGGAGAGGAGTGAGGAAGCACTGGGAAAACAGATAGGTATCGATTTGACCTTTAAGTAATGCCTCAAGAGTGAATTTACTGTAGTAAACTGTAATTATAATAAATGTTTGTTAATGTATTTCTTGTATTGTTCTCCTTCAAACAGAAGTTAGAGCATTCAAAACATTAAACTATGATAAAAACTTCTTTCTGCTTGAGGAAAAAAAGTGACCATTATTGTTTCTTTACTGAGGCAAAAGCAAATTACTCAGCATTACTGCCCGAACAAAAACAGAGTCGTCATAACTTTGCCTGTATTATATGCTTGAAAAGTACTCTGATTACATTTTGAAATTATTAAACTTTATTTTAAAAAGGTGCAGCATTTGTTCCCAACCCTACCCCCCATTTATTCTCTACCGGAAATATAGAGTTCTCTATGTTTTTTCTGGAGTTTTATTCTTTTAACTCCAAATTAAAACCTCTCTCTCCACCGATTAAAATCAAGGGGGGGATTTTGTTTTGTTTCTTGGCATAATATGTCTCCATGCTGCAGCCCAGACCTGATACTTCCTCAGTCCTCAACGTTCCCAAGCTGGCTGATATTTGGAATGCAGGGGAACAAAGGGGTGGGTGTCCAGAGCTCTCAGGCTTAGCCAAGGGCAGTGTTAACTGGCTCCACAGACAGTTCCATCAAACCCTCCTTGACTGGAAAAACAGTTAATAAGATGCAGGGGGTTTGACAGAGAGGGTAGTAAAGGGGAATCGTTCAGATGAGTGAAATTAAAAATTAAATGTCAGCCTTAACCACTCATATTATAGCTATTTAAGAAACAAGAAAAAGCTACCTTCTCTACACAGCATAATCTTGAAGCCCCAGTGTAGTTTACTGTATGAGTTTTAAGTTATGCCAGCTCTTCGTGTGCTTAACGTTATATTTTAAAATCAGTAACAACAGAACTCTTATTAAATGTGCTTAAACATCAACCCCCTTTTTGCAAGCTGGGGGAAGAAGAGGGGATGTGGAGGGAGATCCTCCAGTGATAAACGTTTTTTGTCTCAGACAGAATAATTAGTCTCGTCTCTGGTGTTGATCTCTCTCTTTTATTATAAAAAATACAGCATCCTTAAATATTGTGCTAACTTTTGCTCAATTTCTTGCTAGAATCTGAAATATCAAATATCACCCTGGAATGTTGGTTTCCACAGCACAGACTACAACATGGAAAAAGAGCTTGCTCTTTTTGCCAGCAGAAGTATGTGCTACCTAACATGAGATCCCAAAAACAACAAATAAAATTTACTACACTGCAGTGTAAAGTGAACTCCCTTCTCTGTCATTTTCTAGGCTGGAGTGCCAAGATTGCAAAAATCACAAATAATGTCATACAAAACATCAACTGTGAATTCAGCTGTGAATTCTCAATCACCATTTGGATTTACTGCCTGAAGTAAGCCTTTTCAAATCAAAAAGAGTTCTACAAACTCTGATATGGGGCCATTTTCAAGTAAGTATAAAGATCAACTTAATCACATAAGTGTTAATGTTAGACAAGATTGTATTAACATTGCCCAGTGTAGTGTCCTCAAGTGTCAAAGTTGGCTTTTTTCCATTAATTCATGCCTCAACCTGTGACAAAAACCAAAAGAATGCACAGAAAATCTGGGAAAACCTCTCACAGATGCTAGCTGCTTGCATGGAAGAACTAAGTGGGCAGAAATATTTCCTCTAATGTAAGAAAAAGTTCACCATAAAGCTTGGCAACGTTATTAGAGTATTAGGAGAAATGAGTTTTAGACAGAAGCTCTGTCCCTCTAATTGAAGGCATTTTATAATATGCACAGTTTATTGACATATTTGGCTGGAATTATAGTCCATTCCTTAAATTCGGATGACAATTTATGGCATCTTGAAATGAACAATACGTCCCCCAAGTGAAGAATGTTTTCATTTCTAATAACAGAGAGCTTCATATTGGTTTTAAATACAGAAAAATTATATACAGAATCTCAAAAAATCTTAGGGCCACATTTGGGTCCAGCCAAACTGTAAATTGCACAGGTCAATGGGAAAGATGTGTGTACAACTACAGCATAAAGATCATCTTTAAAACTTCCTAGGTTCTGGGGCTACTGCTGTGTGCAGGGCTGATCTCTGTTCTGGTGTCTCTGCTGTTTCTGGGGACGTGACCTCAATCACTCTAACTTAACCCCAGGTGCCTACCAACTATCCCCATCATCTCAGGTCACCATTGTTTGGGTCCCCATTCATCCTGAGTAGCTCAATGGCATGTCTCTGCGGCTCAGAGCTTTTCCAAAGATAAGTGAAAAACTGACATGATTCTTATCAGTTCTGCTGCACCCCCAGTCTGAATAGGAAAAGGGAAAGTGACCAGTCTTGTCGATTTCACTCTAATACCACTTAGAGGAAAGCTTTCAGAAGATTGGATCTAAACAGTGGCATGGTCAGGAAGTGCCGACTGGGACCCCAGTCCCTTTTGTAAGCAAAGTGCACAAATAACCACTGTACTGCTTTGATCTCATATAAAGCTGGTAAACTGCACCAGCTCTTCACTTGGAATCTATGCAGCTGCATCCTATGGTAGATAAGAAAATAATTTGTTAAGTCCTCAAACCTTTCAGTGGCTCCCTGAGCAGAACTGGCCCGAGCCTGCTGAATTTCATCCTCCAAGCGCCTTTTTTCTTCCTCCAAACGTGCAATGTATTCTGGGGATCGTCTCTGCTGACTGATGAGCTGCAGTTCCTGAAGGAGAGCCTCTTTCTCCTTGATGAGCTGAAGACGGTCCCTGTCCGCCTCAGCCATTCCTGGCCAAGATTCATTATCTAGCAAGGCCAGCTGCTGCTGTACATTGGAAACTCTTGGGGGGAAAAAATGAGAGTGCGCATAAGAAATGGATAAGTAACGGGGGAAAAACACTGTGGAATAACTGTTGAGGAAAATCACTCCCAGACCACTATTACTTAGCTACTTTTATTCTTAAAACTATTTGTATATGTGAAATAAACCACAAAAACTTGCAAGCATACATTTATAGTCTCACATAAGTGAATATGTTCAGAGCTATAGCTTAACATCTTTAACTTACACATACATCCTGTTATGTTGGGCATTTAAAAGATACTTAATGACTTCTTCCACACTGTACCATATATGTTGCAGACAGATTCAAAAGATGATGTAAGGATACAATTGGGGAGTTTACTCTCTGCTTCCTCTCTTTGTTGGCTTTAAATTAGACCCTAATTTATATCTGAATTTTTTTAAATAGCAAATGAAGAATTAACAAAACTAATCATCACAACTATCATAATTAATTAGAGTGGACAATGTCTGCCATGATATTTTAGCAGTTTTGAGCTGCTATAATTCATATTATAAAGATGTGAATAAAGTGACTATTTTTAAGATGACTAGATGCAGTTAACACGAAACTCGTTGACTGCTGTTCTAAGGAAACAGTCTGAGTGCTGTTTGTGTAGCCTAAGAAGCTGCCTTCTATTCTGAAGGAAATAGTCCCCTTTATTTCTTATTCTCCCCAGTCAGGATTTTGGGAATGCTTTGAGCCATCAACAAGTTCCACAATGTCTAGAGCCAAGCTATTCTCCAAGTGACTGTATATCATTCAGCTGGGAAAAATCTTTAAGGGACAGAAAATATTTGGCACTCCATGGCTGACAATTCAAGGACAGGAATAAATAAGCCATGAGTCCAAAAAATATGGGACTGGAGCAGAACAGTTGCCGCCAGAAGAAGCCATTATACAAGTACGACTGGGAAGAAGCCAAGCCCTCCCATACACACCACTCCAACAACTTATTTCTTTTGTTTGAAAACAAAACACAAGCCATAACAGCCCATCCGCAAACCAAGAATTATTCAAGAGAGTACTGCAACCTTAGGGTGGTATGGTGATGGGCAGAGAAGTAGAAATGAACAAACTTATCTTGAATATTAAGAGTTGAGGAATGCAGAAGTCATGGAGTTTATTTGCATAAACACTACTCCCCTCAGAGCAGAGTTCTTTTGAGTTTCCTAACAAATCAAATCAAGTTCTTTGAAACTTAAATTCAGTTTGAACAGTTTCCTTTTTCATTCGGACATGCCTCTGAACTTCCTCATCCTACCCAGGCCTGCAAGACCCAAATTCCTATGATCTCAAAGGCCTAACGGACAAAATCTTCCAACCACACTAAGTTTGTCGACCAAACTGTCAGTGTAAGCTATGCTGGCCAACCTCCAGTGTAGATGCAGCTATGTCAACAGAAGAATGCTTCTGTTAACATTGTTAACTTGGTTTGGGAAGGTGGCATTCCTATGCTACCCCTTCTGTCAGTGTAAGCTGCATCTACGTTCAAGGGTTGTGCCGACATAGCTATGCCAACATAACAATGCAGGTATAATCTCTGCAACGTAGGCATAGCCCAAGGGTGGCAAAATCTGGTCCTAATTTTGTAAAGCCAAACAATTCTGAAAGGCAACTAAACAGAAGTAAATATCCTGACGCTGAAGTTTGTCCATCACTTTGGAAAACATGTCAGTTTTAAGTTTATGTATATGTAACAGAAGACAGCAGGAGTACAGAATCAGGATTAGTGCACCTCAGTGGGACTATTTACCTAAGTAGAGTTTCTATGATATGACCCTAAAGGTTAAAATCTAAAAAGCCTAGCCCATATTATTAAAATAATTAAGAAACACAAAAACCCAAGAGACCTTTTTATTTTAGAGTGTGAACAAAAATTCTTCAAAGCTACATGATACTATTTGTTTTATGCACTCAAATTAAAAAAATGTCCAGAAGTTTGTTTCAGTGTGTGTTCCCTCGTGAAAATCTGGAATGACATGTCTGCAGGAGATCTGATGTAAACAACCACATTCTTGTCAATCAATTACCAACACTCTGACAGCTCTTTCAGTAAAGTGGACGTATGCAAGAGGAAGAAAGTTTTGTAGGTGCAATATAAAATTTGCCATAATTTTTCCTCAGTTCTTAGGAATCTTGGCAATTAACCAACAATACTGCCATGCTGACTAACTTAAAAATGTTCAGTGGTTTCATTTTATTAAAAAGATGTTAACTAAAAATGTTTGTAAGTCATATTCATGAAACAGATTCAAAACTGATAAAGCCAAACAGGGACATATTCATTTTAATCAGAGTTAAAAACAAAAAAGATCATTCTATGTTCATCCTGATAAAATAAAACAAATTACATGCAATTTTACAAATACAGTAATTAATTGTATCAACTCTGCTCCTGAAATCCAGATTACTTCAATGGTACTCTACGCAGGCCCAGAAGTCCATCAGTGAAGATCCAATTGCAATACCGGGGTCTACCAAAGGATTTTAAATTCTGTCAGGTGAATTTGCGGAAAGGCTATTGACAGACAGCTGAAGAGTAGTAGTGACTGGGACAGTGATCAGATCTGAAGCGAGATTTTTTTTTTAAATGTAAACTTACAATAAACTATTATTTTTAAAAAATTCATTAATGAAGTGGGGCAAAAAGAATGGTATGGAAACCTATAACTAATTATTGCATATTTCAAGTCTAATATGCACGCAACTACATTCCACATGTACTTTCAAACATTGTACCGAGTGTCAAGAGGTGTATTCACTGCAACACAATTATGACCAGCACATTAGGGGCAAGGCCCATCTTTTAAATAGGAGAATCACTTCTTATCACAAACTACAGTTATACCAGTCCCAGGAAACGTTTTTCAATAGGTAGTAATAGCACTACTTATCATCCATCTCAGTCACTCTTTGAAAGGATTCCATTCATCCCGTTCGATAGGATATATATATATATTTTTAATGTAAGTGAAAACAAGGTTTCCCTTGAGCTGGATGTTCCTCTTCATGGGAGCTAGCTAAAATGTTTCCTCCCTTTTTGTGCTGCTTTCTGTAGATCACATTTCAAAAAATGTGAAGTTCCTACATCAGATTTTTCATGTAACCATTGTTTTGATAGCCCTAAGGCAAGAGATTTAAGCTACTGTTTAAACCAGTGGTCTCCTTCTTGCGTTACTCAATGTTGACAATCGTGCCTTGTCTTGAAAAGGACCTCTAACTACTTGAAGAATGTTTATTTGAGAGTCTAAAACTTTCTTGTGAAGCATTTAGGGTTGTTACACCCAATATACCTGGCATCCATGAAAACAATGAAACAAAAAGTTAGGACATTTAACTTCTATTCCTCCACCCAGCAGAACATACCTTTCCATTACTAGACACTACAAGCCACACAGAACAGCCTTAACTCTGTTGATTACAATTTGGTAAAGAAGTCTTCAGAGAAGTATTCTTCTTTAAGGCTAGTATCCTTAGGAAAGCAGAGTTAAAGTTATAATGCATGGCCTATATTGGGTATGGTAGCTGTAGTAATGGTTAGGTGTGGCCTGTGGATAAAGGAGAAGTTACTGTTAAGTTACTTAACGCTTCATTTCTTTGGCTTTGTGAGTTCTGTGAGTTGTCTCAAGTATGTTAGGAGTAGAAACTCTAACAGCTTCACAATGAAGTTTGGGTATTAATTTCCTAGGTTTTTGGGTTATTTTAAATTCTTAAGCAGGGCAAGCGTGGGACAGAGATGCAGAAGTATTGCTGCAGCTGGAGAAAATTTTATCTGTCAGCAGCTGTGCATGAACCTTTGCATGTCAGCAGCTATGTATGAAACTTTCTCTGGTGTAGGATAAAATCTAACAGAATGTGTAGCTCCTGACAGAAGAATGTGTGCAATCTATCAGGTTTTCCTGGCCCCGCTCAATTAGATTTAGTCACACAGCACAGAAACTAGCAGCATGATTATAGCCTAAAAATGACCCCTCCCCCCCCCCTTTTTTTAAATAATGAAAACTACTTGTTGCATCACATCTACTGAGGACACACCTTTCTATCAAGTTTGGGGTATCCAGAAATTTTTTTTCTTTTTCTTTTCTTTTTTTTAAGAAAGATACCAGTCAAAAAAGACAAGTAGAACTTCCCTGGAAAAAGCCAAATTCAAGCCAGAGCCTAAATTCAAAACTACCCATTAAAAATATATTAGGAGAAACCAAACACACACTGTACAGAAAATTCAAGGGGCATAAAAAACTAACCTAGTATGGCATTTCACACTAATTGGCCACATATTTGGAAATGCAGGAATTTATGCCCCACTTCAACCCCATTTCAAAACGTAACCCTAACTATGGAGTCGGTATCAGGCACCTCCTGATCATTTTTTCAATGTTTCTTAGTGCTTGACCTTGCAACATAAATAATGTTCTTTTAACAGTTTTTTGAAAGCGATAGTACATTAAAGACAAAAAAACACACTTAGAGGTGAGATGAGAAATTTTCGTCTCATTCTTATTAGGGCTGTCGATTAATTGCAGTTAACTCATGCAATTAACAAAAAAAATTGCGATTAATCACAGTTTTAATTGCACTGTTAAACAACAGAATACCAATTGAAATGTATTAAATATTTTTGGTTGTTTCTCTACATTTTCAAATATATTGATTTCAATTACAAGACAGAATATAAAGTGTACAGTGCTTACTTTATATTATTTTTATTACAAATATTTCCACTGTAAAAATGATAAAATAAATAGTATTTTTCAATTCACCTCATAGAAGTACTGGAATGCAATCTCTTTATTGTGAAAGTGAAACTTATAAATGTAGATTTTTGTTACATAATTGCATTCAAAAACAAAACAATGTAAAACTTTAGCACTTACAAGTACACTTAGTCTTACTTCTTGTTCAGCCAATCGCTAAGACAAACAAGTCTGTTTACATTTTTGGGAGATAATGCTACCCACTTTTCATTTACAATGTCACCTGAAAGCGAGAACAGG